TTCCTCTTCGCAGTTGTTTAACTTACTAGACATTGAACTTGACTAATCTCAATTCCCTAAATATAGAAGAAAATTGTTTTGGCACAGTTAGAATGTAATAGGTGCTAATTATGATTGCTTTAATTATTAATTTTTGGCCTATCCAACATAAGTTGTAATTGATTTGAAGACAGATTTAAATGGAAGTGAATAATATGTGGTGATGAGGTGGCTGATACAAAGCTTTTAACTGTTCAGAATAAGGATTGGTAGATGTCACAAAGGTGAAATAAATGGAAAATTGTTTTCAGAGTGGAAAAAAGCAAACTTCTTGAAAATGTTTCTTTTCAGTAGAAAACTTGGAAATTCTTAAAATTATTTTAAGAGCTTATGTCATTTGTAACAGTTGGCTAGTGAGGAGAGTGTATATTTTTTTAGTCTCACTGTAGAAAGGCAAGAATTTTGTTAGGAGTGTCTTAGCTACTTGCTCTAATGATTGATAGGGTTAAGGAGAACTTGATTCTAATGCCCAGTATAGCTGAGCACTGTTTATGTTGTTTTGCCCTCTTCCTATGGCACAGGGGAGTGAAAATATGTGTTGTAATATTGACACATTGTAATATTAGAATATGCTGTGGCCATGATCTGTATTGGAAAGGATGTCAAAATTCAAAAGCAGTGATGTGACATCCTTAGCCTGCCTCACTTTACATTTAGGTCTCAAAACTGTTTATGGGCAAACTAGATTGAAGATGGTGCAGCATGAGCTGTGCGGTCATTTTTAGGTATACAGGCTGAAAAGTAATTCAGGTGTTTCTTAAAACAATTCCAAAGCAAAGGAAATAAACATGTCCTTGAAAAACAACAAACCCCTTTTTATCTTTGGAAATTTTAACAAGAAGACTTGAACAATTTAAAAGGACATTTTAGACTTAGCTTAGATTAGTGGATGATTGATCACTCTGAAAGAGACTTTGTGCATTTAATACCAGAGGGCAAGAATTGTACTCACATAAAAGTAGTGTTGGAAATTATTTTTTTCTAGGAAACATGGAGAAGAGGAAGAGAAGTAAATAGTATGTATGTAGGTGGAAGGGTCTAGTACTGGCTGAGCAGCTGGGTTTAGGATTTGGAGACCCATGGGAATATTGCTTAGCAGTCACAGTTCTCTCTTTGCAAGAATATCATAGTAGGGAGCTTGCTTGTCTTTATAGGGAAGCAATGAGAAGGCTTAGCAATTCATGTATACTGGGGAAGAGGGGGTGAGGAGAGAGAAGGTGGGGGCATGTGAACTGGGATGAAGGAGTGGAAGCATGAAGAAAGAGAAAGGAATTAGGAGATAATGCTGTTGCAAAGAAAGGACACTGAAGGGAATAAGAAGTGTTGAAATTCAGACCAAAAATTAGCAGAAGAATCTGCCCTCTGTGTTCTTGTCCTGCCCAATTTGAAATGAAACCTGAGATTCCTGGGCACCTTCTTTCAACAAAGTATCTGTCCCAGCCCCTGTAATTGCTGCTTTTAGTTGCAATATAACTTCAGTTGCTCATTTAGGCCCTGTCAAAAGTATGCAGCCTAGGTGGTGCAATTGTTGTTGTTTTGCAGGTGTCACATGGTGTCGCTTGAAAGTGTTTTAACCTTCTGCTTTTAAAAACCCAACCCTGGGGAAATGAATGTGGTATGTATACTAAGGCAGTGCTAAAGATGGATTTATACATGTTGGGAAATGCCCCTTATGTCAGAGGTTTAGGGTGGCATCTGCTGTTTTCATAGGGCCCTCTTGTGTACATATAGCGATAGTTTCTGATGGACAAATCTCAGTCTTTATTGTGGAGGAAATTTCATTGATTGTGCATGGCTTTGTGTGACAAGGAATGTATGGTCGCGTGGTCCTTACCTGTTGCTGAAAGCTTAGTTTCTAACCTGGATTCTAGGACTATGATGTTTCATTAAAAAATGCTGGTTGATCTATCATGGTTTGACTATCCTATGGAACAGTAGCCTGTTTGAAAGGAGAGGAGTGGGAATGTGCAACTGGGGAAGAAGGAAGGGACAGAGCTGCTGCTATTGGTGTCCACACAGACCTACAGGCCTGAGTGGATTTGCAGTTATTAGCAGACCTCAACTGTTTGCTGTGAAAGTTAAACAAGATGGGAGACTGCTGGAGGAGGAAGGATAGTCTCAACAGTCAAGTGCTGCCTACATTGTTTTCTGCACCTGTGGCTTTACTCCAGAAAAATAGGCACAGTTTTTTCACAGGAGGCCGACAACCTGATGTAGTAACATTGAGCATTCAAGTCACAAATAAGATGCTAGGAATTCTGCTCTAGGAGTAGAAAGTGTTGGATAATATTCCATCCTCCAGAACAAAGTGGACCAAGTGGGTGTCCTTAGCTTGAATTTTTGTTTTTCTTTTCCTGTCTTTTTAAATAGGAGGAGTACTTCTATGAGATAAAGGAAGACTATGGAATATATTATTTTAAAGCACTCGATCACAACAGTGTGGTATCCTATGAAAAAATAATAAAAATCTGTCTTCTGAATTGGACTTACTAGACTGTTGTATAATAAAAAAGGTCTAAGCAAAGAATTGGGTTGGCTTATTAAGTAAACACTCTTAGAAACTAAGCAAGGTGGTGGTCACACCCACATAAATATTGTCACTATCATGCTTGTACATTAAGTCCTTTGTTTCACGAGATTATTTTTAAAAATAAAGAAATTTGTTCAAAAAATTAGAATTTGTTGAAACCAGAGCTAAAGTTTTCAGAAATTTGTTCCAGAACAAAGTGCTTGTCTTTTACAGTCTAAATAATTTTTCCTCTGGTTGTTTTGTTGTTGTTGTTGTTTGGTTTTTTGTTTTGTTTTTGGGGTTTTGTTTGCTTGTTTGTTTTTGTTTTGGGGTTTCTCTTTAATGTGTGCTATTTGTTTCTGCTTTTAAGGATGACATTTGGAAAATTCTCACTCTAATTTGAAAAATTTTGTTTTCTTTGATTTTTGTTGAATAGAAAAGATACGAAGCAAACTGGTCTGATTTTTACTCTGTCTAGCAATTCTGCACCTGAAAATCTAGAGCTAAGATGCTATACAGCTTTGCAAGTGTGGTGGGTTGACCCTGGCTGGATACCAGTTGCCCTCCAAAGCTGCTCTATCACTCCCGCCTGCAACTGGACAGAGGAGAGGAATTATAGCAAAAGGTTCATGATTTGAGATAAGGACAGGGAAAGATCACTCACTAAATACTGTCATGGCACGGGCAAAACAGACTGAACTTGGGGATATTCACTAAATTTATTACTAACAAAATCAGTGTGGGATAACGAGAAGTAAAATTAATATTAAAAACATCTTCCCCTGACTCCTCCCTCCTTTCCAGGATCTACCTCCTCTCCCCAGCAGTGCAGAGATACAGGGAATGGGAGTTATGGTCAGTTCATCACATGTTGTTCCTGCCACTGCTCAGGGAGAAGAGTTCTTCTCCTGCTCCACTGTGGCGTCCCTCTCATGGTAAACATGAGACTTCTCCAATGTAAGTCTGTCCCGTGGGCAACAGTTTTTCATAAACTGCTCCAGTGTGGGTCACTCTACCATGAGGTGCAATCCTTCAGGCACAGGATGCTCCAGTGTGGGACCCCACAGGGCCACAAGTTCTATCAGGAAATCTGTTCCAGCTGGGGCTCCTCTCCCCATGGGTCAGCAGGTCCCTGCCAGGAGCCTGCTCCAACACAGATTTCCTGTGGGTTCACAGCTCTTTCATACATCCACTTACTCTGGCGTGGGTCTCCTCCACAGGTGGATCTCTGCACCCCTGTGGACCTCCATGGGCTGCAGGGACACAGCTGCCCCACTGTGGTCTGCACCATGGGCTGCAGGGGAACCTCAACTCCAGCGCCTGGAGCACTTCCTCCCCAACCTTTTCCACTGACCTTGGTGTCTGCAAGGCTGTTCCTCTCACATATTCTCACTCCACTCTTCTCTGACCACAATTACACCTGCACATCTTTTTTTTCTTCTCTAATATGTTATCACAGAGGCATCACTATCATTTCTGGGTGACTTGTGGAGGGTCTGTCCTGGAGCCAGCTGGCATTGGCTCTACCAGACATTAAGCAAACTTCCGGCAGCTCCTCACAGAAACCACCCCTATAGTACCCCTGCTACCAGAACCTGGCCACACAGACCCAACACGGCAAGCTATTTATTACTTATTAGCATATTTAGGATTACAATCTTGTTGAGGAGATTTTGTGTTTCTTTTTATGGTTGGTGGTTTGTGGTTGGTTTGTCTTTTTTTTAAAATAGGATTGGTTCATAGTGTTCTTTGGTAAAAGTTAGTTCATCTGTTCTCTACAATGCCGTGGCATGGAGATGCTTTTTTGATTTGGGATAAGTTATACCTTACACTTCTGATCTCTACTGCCCGTGTAATTTCCTGTTGCACCCGTTCTTCTCTGATACCTGTCATGAGAGACATCTAGGCAGAAAATGGGGTCACTGAATGACAGCTGAACATGTGAAGGCTGAGAGGCAGGTGAGAATGCAGGCTGAAGTACAGGATCTTATGGTTGGAGCACAGCATCGTCCTCCTTTTTTCCCCATCCCAGTGTACACTCACTTGCCTTTTGGAAACTGATGTGGAAACAGAGAGTTCTGGTGGTGACAGCAGGGGCCAGAGCAGCCCTATGTGTCTGTAAGCCATCCTTGCAGCCTACCACTCCAGAGAAGGGTATTGCTCCCACTATGGGCAAGAGAGAGGCAATCTGCTTACAATTAATTTACTGCACCCACCTCAAGGTTGCAATAGACGTCAGTTCAGATTTGAAAATTTCACGTGCTTAACATATTTTGGAAAGAAAACCAAACATTTATCAGAATAAAGTTTTTATTGCTGAGAAACTTTGAGCTGATGAATTAGCAGCTATTTTTATTCATGAGTTACAATTAACTGAAGTATCTTTTTTTAAATTTATCTTAAAGTGTATAAGTACTGCAGAGTTTACCTTCTAAGGTTTTCTCGTTTTCAGAAACAAGACACTGGACAGATTTTGTTGGATATGACCTATAACCAGTTGGGTGTGACGGAGAAGGAGTATTTTGGTTTACAGCAAAATGAAACATCAGTAGATTCACCTGTAAGTATAGTTAATTATAAATGTGTGTGCATGTATATGTATGTATAAATATATACACATATATGCATATACATATATGTATATACACATATTCATGCACACACATGCACATAAAGAAACAGTATTTATTTATAAATATTTTTAATCCATCTAATAGTTTTTCATTTCACAGCGATGGCTTGAACCAAGCAAACCTATTAGAAAACAGTTAAAAGGTAAGACTTGTTTTTAATATCTTGATTGTAACTTTGTAGTCCTGGTTTTGTGTGTTCTCATGGCTAGAACAAATGCAGTTTGTCCAGATGGTAAATGTTCATCAGGAGCAAGTCTTATCTCTGCCAGTCTATGCAACTGAGCTTTCTACTATTCCTTACTCCTATCTGACCTGCTAGGTCACTAGCTTTGATGTTGTAATAGCATCTACACCTGGCTCCTGAGCAGTGTTAGACATCATGACCATGAAAGCAGCAGTCATATAGTTGTGCCAGTGAACTCCTCCTCATAGGGAAGAAAAGGAAGAGAGGATTTGGTTGAGGGAAGCATAACCTATTTCATGTATGGATTCTGGCAATATCTTGTCTCAAGTACAGCATCTGAGTGTTTCCTTCTCAAAGTTGGTGTTAGGGGATCAGGAGAGACTTCTCATGGTTTCTTTTAGTTTCATGAGAAAAATACATGAGATTTCCATATGAATGTTCATGTAATTTTTCTGTTAATATAGAAATTAAAACCTTTTTCTGTTTTAAACTAAACATTTTATTTGCTCTTCTAAAATATTGCAGGAGGTTTTCCCTGCACCCTTCGTTTTCGTGTAAGGTTTTTTATACCTGATCCTAACACACTTCAGCAAGAACAAACCAGGTAACTCCTCTTTGATGTTTGCTTCCATGAACTAGGAATGTGTAAAGCCTTCCTTTCACATGTCCACAGTTTGGCAAGCTATGCTTTATTACATAAATAACTTTGTATAACTCTTAATATTAAATGTGTTTGGAATGGACAACTTGATGCAATGCTCACGGTGAATGGTTTCTGCTACACACAGCCTACAGCTCCAAAATACAGTCGGAATATAAGCAAGGAGAAAGATACCGATTGGTTTATTTGCACCTTGAATTCTTTGGATTTTTTCAACCTGCATGCCCTAGATCTATCTTAGGAGTTTTGTATCAACACTGAGTCAATTTTGAACATATGCAATAGATATAGCGCAGAGGGCGTGGGAGGGTGGGGTTTATTTTGTTTCAGGAAGAACAGATAACAGTTCTTGTTTCCTAGTTTGCCCATTACTTGTAACATGCAAAAATCTGTAATGCTTTGGTTTACAGTAGATCTTTTATTTTTATTTTTAACCTGTCTCTGAGTTTTTGGGGTGGTGGGGTGCATGAGTTATAAACAATTTTCAATTAATTTGTCACAAGATTTTAAACAAATAATTGTTTTGTTCAGTGCCTGTGATATGGAATTTAGAATTTGAAGGCACCCATTAATCTGGTATTTTTGTCACATTTTCACTGCTTGTTGATTTCAGTGTCTTGAGAGTATAAATAGCATTTTAAATTATATTTCTTGTGGAAAACTTAGCTATTGACCTGTTTTGGTATTTGTTAATCATGCAGTTTTAAGCTGCTCTGCAATTTAAAACTGAAATTACTCAATGATCGGCTCTTTATGGTTCTTCATATCCCAACTCTTCAGTATCACTATAAAGTATATCACAGTGTAACTTGATTGGGATTTGGGTGTTGTATGTTGTTGTTTGATGTTGCATTCAAAGTCAATATTCCAGGAAGAAAGAGAGCCCAGTTCTGTAGTGATTTGGATTCTGTAGTGTTAATTGTATCATTAATACTATGGTCCTGGAGTTGCAGTACAGACTGCCAAAGATCCTTAAAACTGTTATCAGACTCAGTGGGTGTATGATTGCATATTTGTCAATGCCACTAAGTTCTTTATTAATCTGTTTATATAGCTTACAGGGAAATCTAATAAAATAAAACTAATATATGTAGTCATTTACACCATACCTTTTTAAAATAAATGTACATTATTTTTCTTTTCCAAAAATACCTTTTCTAGGCACTTATTCTTTCTGCAATTGAAGATTGATATTGCAGAAGGAAGGTAAGAAGAATAATCTTCAATTTCTCTATAATTCTTTTTAAAATAAAATACCTTTTATTTAAAAATACAATACCTTTTTCTGAAGGTATTGTTGCTATAAAATGTGCTCTGTGAAACATCACTTTAAAGGAAAATCAAATTGCTAGGAAATGTTACAAATTGTCACGTATCTCACTTCTTAAGAACATTTGAGAAGTCTGTTGTGAATGAGCTGTAGGAGATGCCATGTGTCTGCAGGCACAATGTCAGCTGCAGAGATATTTATGCAAGTCTTGGTGTACCAGGCATGGAATTCCAAATGAGACCCACTGTCCACTGTGGTAAGCAGGAGGGAGTAGCAAAGAGCAGTTCATGCTATCATTTCTTCTGATTTCAGGGTTATGTTACCTATATGGTGAGCATATACTCACTAGTTCCTTTGGCTGTGATTCCTGTGTGTTGGTACTTTAAAAAAAAAAAAAAGAAAAAAAGGAGAAAGATAGTCCAAGTATTTCTGCCAAATGTAAATTGCCTTTAGGACTTGTTTTTTTTTCTTCTATAGAGTTGGTTTTGGTCATAAGGTAAGAGCTATCTTTGTGGTCGGCACTGGCTAATTTTAGTGTTTCTGTCTAGTTTTAAATACACCAGAATGCAACTATTAAAGTAATGTCTAGAGTCCCAAAAAAATCCTTCTGCTTTTCCTTTTCTGAATAATCATCTAGCAAGAATTTGAACATATTCTTTTAGAACTACTTACTTCCATTCAGTTAAGAAACTGTTTAATGTCCAGTCCTACTGTGCTTTGGCAATCAAACTTAGTAAGAAAAAATCAGATACTCTTTGAAGATAAACAAGTCTTCATATACTGAACTAATTGCAGAGACATTTTTTAAGTAATTTATACAGTCTCTATATAAGTAATAAAAAAGTATTTTTATATAATATTATATATATATAACAACTATATTATTATATAACATAATAATTATATTTAATATTATGCATTGTTAATAAAAATATTTCCCCTCCTTTCCAGGTTGTCATGCCCCATTAGTTCTGCTGTTGTCCTGGCATCGTATGCAGTACAATGTAAGCAATAAATAATCATTATTTTGTTAGTAAATATATTTCACCAACGACCTTCTTTGCTGTTTGGCACTGGAAAATCAGGAAAGATTTATTTCTTTATCTATTTGTGTGGAACATTCAGCATTCTATGGGTGATGTTTTGTAAAGAAGATTCAGATTATTAAAGCAGCCTTCAGACAGCCTAGACAGAAAAACTGTACCTGTTAGGCCTGTCAAAAAGTAAAAAAAGTTTATACAAGGGTAATATTGTTCTTATTTATGTGTGCCTTGTACTGCTGACAAAATAGTCAGGTTTGCGTTGTCATTGGAAACAAAATAGTGTAAGTTACTGTGTATTACAATACCTATGGGAAAGCATTCCAGGGGAATAAGTGGCCATCTACAGAACAGTTAAGAGGAAGGTAAACTCATGATTGAGAAATACAGTGTTCTTATGTAATGGTTTTTTATGGCATTTGGTTTGTTAGTTATATAAAACTGGCCCTTTGCAGTACATTTAAGGTGACTCTACGTACAAGAACTTACATCCTTCTCATCTGCCTGCAACTGGGAAAAAAAATACTCAAAGGATGATATTGGGAAAACATCTTCTGTAGGAAAACCAAAATGGAGTCCGATCCAATGCCTCACAAGTATACTGGACAGATAGTGAAAAAAGCTGGAGGAAGACCTTTCTCATTAAACAAACAAAGAAAAAAAAATATGTTGAGGGTTTGGTGGAGTTTGCACATTTGTTAAAAAAGTTGTCAGGGGAAAGTACACTTAGAATAGTTGTGTAATTATTTGACTGAATCTCTTTATGGAAGGCTAGCAAGGCCCACGGAAATGATTGAGGTAAACTTTGTTTGAAATAAGGAGCAAGTTAAGTAATTTAAATGTGGGTTTCAAAGAAGAATGTGATAAACTTTGGGTATCTATTAAAATCCTAAGTGGCTATAAAACATTAGCTTTTATGTTTAAGCACGTCAGATGTTGCAACCTTTCATAAGATGGAATTGTAATCGCATTCAAGCTCAGTTAGAAGAATTGAAACCAGAACAAGTTTTCCATAGGAGGTTACAGTCTCAGTTTTGTTACCAAATGAAATTCATTCTGCTCTGGTGTTCCTGAAGAACAGTAAGGGTACTTGAAGGCTGAAAAACTCTGAACTGTTAGGACTGTTAAATGTACTATTGCTGACCAATTGTGCTAAAGCTCAAAAATGCAAAGGGGCACTGAAGAATGCAAATATCTTATCACAAAGTAAAATTAATCATGCCACATCTAGTGTACCACGAATCCCAAAGTAGTTCCTGTTTCCCCTTCAGTTCTATGACTGTTACCTTTTTAGTACCTAGGATACCTACTAATGCAGTTGTCAATACTGAAGGGGAATGACAGAAGGACAGTGAAGATTGACAAAGGGTGCTAGTGTTTTAAACTTTCTCTTTCATGGCGGATTCTGGAATTTCCCATTGACCTATTTGCCTGGTTTTTCTAATGCATAGAAAGTGCTGCTATTAGCAGGTGGTGGTGGTGGTTTTGTGTTTGTTTGGGTTTTGTTTGTTTTTGTTGTTGTTTTGTGTTTTTTATTTAAAAGAAAAAACCCACAGAAAAAACACCAAGCCAAAAAACCCTAACCTTTCCTTTTTAGCTCACTGATGTCCTTTTTGTTTCTGTTTGTATGATACCAATACTTGTTCTCTGCATTCATAAAGAATGAAACATTTAAGAAAAAGATGTATTCCCTTAAAAAAAATTTAAAAGTTTTTGTTTTGCTACCAGGTTGTTCCTGTTTACCTAAAGGTGATGGCATAGGAAAGCCTTTCTGAAATCTGAGGATCTGTGTCTCCTTATGAGTTATGTTTGCTGAGGTTCTTGTCAACCGAAATTGTTTTAAATACTGTTCCATTATTGTTTTAATTTCTAATCATACTTAGTAAGGAGAGTGAAAGTTCTTGCGTATTAGGTATCTACTTATGAAAAATCTGTTGTCTGAAGCTACCATGAGTTGGTTCTACCTGAATTGTTTACTACCACTTCTTGGTGACTTTCAGGGTGCTCTCTCCTTCTGTAACTTCCCTCGTATGCAGAAGGGGAAATGGTTATTTGACGAACTTGTGGGCTATTTATTTAAAAGGTGTAGCAGTTGTCACTGATGGGAGGGCTGAAACAGATGTCTTTCACTGTGCATGAAGGCTGGTGTTTGAGATATTTCCACTCTTGCTTCTTAACTGTAGTTTTTACATGTACTAGTTGTATGGTTGACCTTCACAGGTCTGAGTTTTGCAAAGGGACAGTTTTTGGTCAAATCTTTTGTGCCACTGGAATGCTGCTTCTCTATACTGCCCTTTTGCAAGCATTAGAGTTCAGCACTGTGGTTCTGAAGTAAAGTTCTGACGTGTTATTCTTCACTGCTGTAGCACACCCTGTGTTGCCTGGTGGTGCTAACTTACAGGGCAATGTAAGTGGGTGTGACTACTGTGTCTAAATAACATGACTAAACCTGATTGTGAATGCAGTTCAGACAACTCAGAATAAGTTCTTAGTGTATTATCATTAGTGTGCTTTGTGACAAAATGATCACCAGATTTTGAAATCCCTTTTTTTTTAGGAAGAATTTGTTAAGATACATTACAAATAACTTCAAAATTGTTAAGTCAGAAGGATAATCTCATACTGAAAAAAATCTAGTGATAAAGTTTACATCTTGGTTTTTACTAGTGTAAAATAGGAATGTGGTACAGTCTATAAAATTAAATAAGGAAACCTTTACAGTGTGTCTATTACTTTTTTTATTTAAAATGTCACAAAGGTGATTTAGCAGCACTTGTTTTCTATCATTTCATGTAGTAAACTACTGTTTTCAGGCCATTATTTAAATGATTAGCTACTGGTATGTAAGAAGTCCCATGACTTTCATAAGAATTTGCTCTTATGTGCATAAATCCATTGCTGAATTGGGACTTGAATCTAAAGCACAGCAACAAAGCCAACGAGGATGTTATGAATGCTTCTAAGCTTGCTTTTTCCTGAGCATCAGTTGCTCGTCTCCTGTGATACTGTTGCCCTCTCAGCTCTGCTTTGAGAACCAGAAAGCTTCTCTAGCAAACTGTTATTTGTCTTTGAGAGTTTGTCCAGAAAGAGGTTGACTGGTTGCTTGGGATTCAAGTGGACTTTAATCTCTTCTAAGAAAGGGAAGGCTGCAAGGGTAAGGGTTCAAGGAAAGCTGAGCTTAATATGCAAGTCTCTCAGGAACTGGGCATAAGAGAGTTAGAATTTTGAGAATACCAGAAAACTGAGATCCCAGAAGAAGAGTTGGGCTGTAAGATTTAGAGAAACATCAACAGTAGCTCCACGGTGAGAGTCACACCACATAATTCCCCCATCGAGTTTCTTTTTACCTGACTCTTTTTTCTAACTTGCCTTCATTTTGCCTCCCTTTCTTTTTATAGAAATTAGATCGAAACCTCAGACTGTAATTTATGGAGACCTCCCTCGTTTCATGGCTAGTGTTTGGAGATTTTTCTCTGTATGTGCTCCCCACCCATGCTTTCTTGAAGTGAAATATTGCTCAGAAGGACATAATCTAAGCTGAGACATTTGCTTAGAGGTCAGTCAGGTTTCTACTACTTTCTGGGGCATCTGTAACCCTTATGTCTCAGAATCAAAATCAGACTGGATGAATAAAGAGAACTTTGAGCCTCAAGTTGCACCAAGGAAGTTTTAGATTGGATATTCGGAAAAATTTCTTCACAGAAACAGGTTGTCAGGCTTTGGAACAGGCTGTCCAGGGAAGTAACCAAGTCACCATCCCTGGAGGTATCTAAAAAACATGTAGAAGTGGCACTGAGGAGTATGGTTTAGTGGTGCACTTGGCAGTGCTGGGTTAATGGCTGGACTCGATGATCTTAGAGGTCTTGTCCAACCTAAATGATTCTGTGATTCTAAAATGACTAGTGGTGAGTGCTGAGAGACAACATAAATGGCAGAAGATAAACGCATTGGTTCTGCAAAACCTTGTAACGTTTTGGGAGTACTGATAGCTACTCCCTGAAGTCTTTTATCACTATACTTTTTCAGAATGTACTTTGGATTACATTTTGCTTTTCTCATTAATTTTTTTTTTATTGTGTCAGTATAGTTTCTGAAGTACATGTATTTGAGATGCAGAAAAAGCAACTCAGTATAACTTACATTTTCTAATTTGTTTCTTCCCTTTTCTTGTGATTATTTTTTATGTGTTGTTGTTTAACTGTGTCTGGGGTTTGAGCTTCTGGTTTTTATTTTTTTAATTCTTTTAATAAGGAACATTACAATGACTGGCTCATTTTTCATTCTGGAGTGGTAAATAACTTGGAGACCACCATTGTGTATGCATAGTTTTCTTTTTTTTTTTTCCCCCCTACAAGTGTTCCTTTGTTTTTATTAATGCCTAATTTCTCATTCTGTCTTACTGCAAAGTGACCAGCTGTCATAAGTGGTCATAAGCAGCTATTTACAGTCATGTCTAGGCTGAACATTTTTTTAAGAGCTCTTGAGTGTGAGACATTATCTTCTTTTACAAAACAAGTTAGTTTGACCCACATGATAGCTAGTTCTGCTTGTCTAGTAGCAACATCAAAATTACTTACTGGCTGAGTGGGTTAATGTTCATGTTCTTGTTCTTATTTGGATACAGGTTCCATTTGTTGAAACGCCTTTCCTTCTCTTAACATTCCCTTTTGAGGCTTTTGGTCCTTTTATGAATTTCTCTCTGAAAACAGTTTTCAGCACGGTGTCTTTAATTGCTACATCTACATGGACTGTGCTCATTTCAATGAACCTTTTTAGTCTTTCTTTAATAATATCTATCTTTTTATGTTCATTTTTAGAAACTGCATTCTGCTGTAGCAAATTATTTTCTGATTCCAGAAGCATTTTAGTACCTGAATACGTTGTAGTTACTGTTGAGATTCAGTAGCTGCTTTGGTTTATGCTATGCAGTTCATCTTTCTTCACTACTAAACTATTTGATTTGATTCTTTTCTGGTACACTTCTTAGATCTTTAGAAAGTTGATATTAAACTAGTTTTCAAAGACTAGCTTTTGTAGGCATGCCTTTGGACCAAAGTGTCCATATTATTTATAACTGATTTTCCATCACGATTGCCCCATGAACCATTCATACATTTCCCTTCTCTCGTCTGTAGTCACTTGAAATGCCCATATGCAGAAATAGGTGCTATTTCTTTGTACGCAAATTTTGTTTGAATTATTATTTACAAGCAAAGTCTGTAGAATTGGAGACCCACTTTTCCTCTGTAGAATTGGAGACCAACGTGTCATCTGTGTTATAAGTTAGTATAAGAATTTAGACAACTCAATTCTAATTAAACATTGATAAATTTATTAAGCAAGCAATAATAAAGCAAAGACAGCTCTGGGTGGCCTGGAGGCAAGTGCCCCGCCTGAGACACACACCACCATGTAGTAAATGTCCCCTTTTTATACATTTTCAAGTACTGGGTTTTGAATGCAATTGCTTTGTGGTTTGAGTTCGTGGTTTGTTGCTGAGTGGTCATCTGGGATTTGTCAGAGATAAAAGCTGCAGTTCTTATCAGCTGTAAATTTTACCGATACTGATACTTGTTTGTTTAGCAAGATGTCTGCAATTATTTTTACTGACACTTGCTTGATTAGCAAGCTGTCTGTGAAACTTATCTTGTTTAATTACAACAAAAAGTTTCTGACTCCTTCATACACATAAGATTTTATGAAGCAAAGTTAACCCTTCTATTACAATCTGTACCTTGAAGAACATCAGGTTTATGGGAAGTAGAAATCTGTCACCCTTTAAGTTATACAAAGCTAAAGACATATCCTTTCTAAAATATGTTTTCAAGGGCTGTAGAATTTGGGCCAGATTGAAAGGTGATATTACGAGTACTCTTAGCATTCAAAATAACAACCAAATTAATGTCTAAACTGGAACCAAACAAATAATTATTTTGGTCATGTAGTAGAAAACGTTGATGTCAACTATAACTTCATATAAGTAAGAACCACAGACCAATTTGGCTTGGAAGGGGCTTCTTCAGAGTCAGATCACGATGCTCAGAGCCTGTCCAGTTCAATTCTGCATTTCCAATGCTCCAATTTCTGCTGTCTGTCGTTGTTTCAGTTTGCAAGTCAAGGAGTCAAACTGTCTTTTGTGCACCCTCCACCTGGGGTAGTGGAGTACAGAAACGAGATCAATGCTACCTTAGTCTAATATATAAGCCAACTTACCACAGAGTTCTTGGAAGAAACCACTATAAATGAAGCCTCAGCAAGTACTATAAGGGCATCAATAGTCTTTTTTTTGCTTTCCATAGGTGCCAGATCTTCCCTCTATGAAAGCTCTCTTTTTTTCCTTTTTTTTTTTTTTTGTCATCTTTTGAAGTTCAGCAATATATCTACTACTTGAGCTTCTCTGTCTAGGGAAGATGCATCTGTACCCATAAAATTCTTATTGAAATCCATCAATGCTACATAAATACACTTCTTCCTGGTCTTTTCTTCCTCTGTATCATAATCTTATTAAAATAGATACATTTTTTAAAAAATTAATTAGTGTTTTTCTTTAATGCTTTCCTTCACAGGAGTCTTTCTACTGCTAGGAGAAAGAGACAAAAAATGTACACATTTGTTCTAACTGAACAAATTCTTTTTTAAAAGTCTGTAGAATAGATGGCTTGTTTAGGCTTCAATAAGGCATAGGCAGATCATATGCTGCGTAAACGTGTATGATCTCAAGACTTTGTGTTTCAGGCATTTATAAACTCATATTGAAAGCTTGTAGAACTAGTGTTTTGGTATGTCAACATGGCTACTTGCCTATTGCACTCTTCTTTTACTAGGAGTTTTAAAACAAATGTCCTCTTTTTATTAAATATGGCCTTCTAAATGAATGGTTCATTAAATTCCTTACTTTGAAGCCTTTCATATTAGATCTGACACTCAGATAGCAGGATTTTATTTGTTCTTCTGACTCATCCTTGGTTCAATTTTCTTTCATTTTACTCTGTATTGTTTCCCAGTTATAATGTATTAAAGAGCAGCAGTAGTCTAGAATGGAGAAATGTGGAAGTATGGGGGTTTTATACTGCAACTTTATTTTCACTGAGTCAGTATCTGCTGGCTTATGTCATCAGAGCAGAAACTATGTTGGGAGAAACTCAGATTAGAAATAGGTCTTTAATATTTTCTTCCCCTCTTCTCCTTCTAGAGAAATCCAGTAAAGAGATAGAAACATCGTAGGTTATCATTCTTACTGATGTCTTGATATGCCCTAACTTTTTTTTCCTAATTGGATAATTAAATCCTGCATGTGATCATTAGTCTTCCAAGATATTTACAAATCAGCATTTATAGTTTCTCTTCAACTGTGACAGTTGTTTAGAGAGTTGGAGAAGCAAGTAGTACTCTAAATTGCTCCCCTTGTTGGCATGGCCTCAGGTAGCTAGGAGGAAGAGGAAAAAAGACCAGAGCAACCTCCATATTTGGAATATGAGAAAGAAGGATCTACCTCATAATGTATGAAGGAACAGCAGTTGCTCCCTTTAGAGAAGGTAAAACTATAGTAAAAATATCTTTTCCTAATTGGACAAATACATTATCTTATTCCTGGCAATCTGGGCTTTTCCAACTGACAAGACGGTAGTTCAGACTAGCTGCAACAAACCTTAAAAATGTAGATTATGTCATAGAAAAGCTGGATTGTATTCACGGCTAGTAAAGAGTCCTCAATCAACTACTGTCATCTGTGAAATTGTGTGTTTTATTTGACACTCTTATTAGAATGCCTACTTTAGAAAAAAGCTTTTAATTTTCGTTTTTATTGTTGTTGCCTTACTCTTGGCAGACTTGGACTTTTCTTAATATATAGATATTCTTAAAAATAATTTCAGCTTCTTGTTATAATTCTGAATTTTCTGTCTTGTTTTTTTGGGGTAGAGTATTTTTTTTCGTTGGTGTGGTAGTTTTGTTTGTTTTATTGTCATTGTTGTTATGATGATATTCTTCAGATAAATATTATTTGACAGCAATGTTCAAACATGTTTTGGTTCTAATGGTAAATATTTAGTTTTGCCAAGTGATTTAAAGTTCAGGTGCCCCTTAAATAAAAGGACTAGAGCAATGGAGGAACGTCTGCATTCAAAGTAAATTGCTTACTGTTTATCATTTACTTTTTTATTTAAATATTTCCCATGATGCTGACAATTAGTTGTGCAACTATATTAGCTTTTCACCACATTTGCCTGGGAATTATTTTGTGTCACAGTAGTTCCATTTTCTGAGCCATAGAAATCATGCTTTTTTAATATATAAGGGGCAAATATTAGTTATCACCTGCATTATAGATCCTTTGTAGTTGTTGTAGCTGTAAGTCATTTCTGATGCACACCCCTGTCCCTCAATCTGAATCATTTAAATATCGCTTTTATATTTTTTTTTTAATTTATTTTCTGGAAAATAATGTTAATAGTATAATTCCTCAAAGTATGTTCTTGAACTTTGATTTAGTTGAGGGGCTTTCTATGCTGAATTGCTTGTGGTCAATCAATGATTTTCTTTTGTGTTAATTTGCAAGTTATTTGTATAACTCCTGGGAAACTTCAGTCTTTATATTCATTATTTCATGCTCTTTAGGAAAAAACAGATTAGTATAAGACAGAGTGATTTGCTTATACGTACATACCATCATTTTTGGTGTTTAATCTCCAACTGTTTAATCAAAACACAGATTTCAAGAAATACGAGGTTTGAATCAGTTGCTTAATTGAAACTAGATAAATTTGTGGCAATTAAACAAGTAATTTGTTTGAAGACATCTCCTTGCTACCCCAAACCTTGCTACTTCATAACAACTAAAAGGTTTGTGTATGTTTTTCAGGGTGTAAACTTATACTGATCTCGATTTTAAACAAAACTTACATAGACTGAAACTATAAACTTGGTTTATATTCATTTCTTTTCTGATATGTAGATAAGAATTAGCTTTTTACCTAGTAACTGTTTAAAAATATCTACTAAATATCTACTAAAATATCTACTAATTAGTATCATTCTTGAAGGAATAAGATTTTAGAGAATTTCTTTTTTGCTATAAACATATATATATATATATACACACTTTTTGTAGCAGCTAGGTAATATTGTATGTAAATCAGCAGTTATTTCACATGCTTTGTTAAGTAACTTATGTTCAGCTGAGGAAAGTCTTAACAGTTGAATTTCTAGGACAGCACCATAGTTGGGAGTTGAACAATTTCTACCTGACTGTGTGAAGAGTAGATGCTTTCTAAGTGACAGATCTTGTTGAAGACTTCTTATGTATTATAGTCAAGTAAACGTGTATCAAATTGATTTCATTTACCATCTCTTACTGAAGCAATTTGGTGTTCTCTAATGTTACAGTACTGCACATCTGTGCCAACACGGCATGTAATGCCTGTCTGGTGGTGTTACAGCTTGTGGTGCAAAAGTGGGGCTATATAAGTAGCTAAATAAATTACTGAGTCATTCAGTGCCTGAGATTATGGTAAGTGTGTTTTGAAAAAAAATCTTTTTTCACTGATGTCATGCAATGCCCTGTGTTCAACACTGCTTGTCTGTTGGAAAATAGTTTGTAATTCCTGCACTTCCCCATATGTGTATGTGTTTTAATGAGAAGGAATTTTTTCTAAATAATGATCAACTAACTATGAAAACTTTGTGTATGTGTTTCTTGTTTCCTGACAGCACAACTTGGAGACTATAATGCTTCTGTACATCATTCAGGATATCTCTCAAATTACAACTTTATACCAGAGCAGAACAAAGATTTTCTTACCAAAGTAGAATCTCTACATGAGCAACACAGGTAGCATGAACTTTTACTTCTCTCTCACCTCTTGAGTTTTTAAAGGAAAAATATGTTAAAAGGAAGACTCAATTTCTTAGTAGTTTCAGTACAACAACCAGTTATATATAATTAGCTTCTGTTAAGTGAAATAGGTGCTAACCTAATTATATGCAGAATATGGTGTTAATATGTTGAAACACTTAAATAAATATCTAGAACACTGTACTAGACAATTGAGGAACGAGGACGTTTGACCATTTTGCAAATTCTATAGATTTTTTGTCTATCTGTGTAAAAAACCAAACCAAATAAACACCATAACCATAAAACACCTCAATTAATATCGTGCTTTCTCTCCACTCTCATGAGTGTAATATAAATGCTACAAGCATATTATTCCAGTCAGTGTGCTGCTAATTATTCTTTCTGACCCTACCAATTTGTCTCTTGTAAGATTGCAATTTTAGAATTAGAGGTGTTGATCAGATACTTGCAAGCTGAATGCAAATATGCCAATCTAAGAAACTGTCAGTGAGCATTTGAGAAAATGAAATCCAAATCTCTGAGGACTTGTTTTCTTTGTCTGTATTTTAACTGCAGCAGAGTTAATTCCTCACTCTCTTAGTTTCTTTGATTTATAACCTGAAATATTTCCATTTTTATCTCCTCCTAATGTTCCTCGACTCTTTTTTTTCATCTTTCAGTACTTTTACCTCTCCCTCTTGTTTCTCTATTGCTAGTGAGTGTAGTGAGTAGTGCTGAACTTCACATGTTCCCTAGCAGTCCAGAACATGCACTGTCATTTATGAAGTAGAAGAGAGATAACCACTGAGCTCTTAACTGCAGTTTCCCTTCTGTTGTAGATACTAATCTTGACTACTTTCCTAGCAGTTCACATTCAGAAGCACAACAGCTGATGCCTCTACTCCTTCCAAATTAATTTGCAGTTTCCAGTAGGCTCAGTAGTTTTTAGAAGGGGACTTGTGGACAGGAAAAAATAATTCTACTTGTCTTTAGGAAGCAGTCATCTTGGAGGGAAGATGTTGAATAGATTTGAAGTGGTTGGGATGAACTCATGTCTTTAGTGCTGTGGTAGCAAGAGATATAAAATTGGTTATGTCCTGCAGAGACCAAAAGGTACCTTTGGTCCAGACTAAGATGTGGTGGTGTCTGTTGGAAAGACTCCTTTCTTTTCTGGTCTTTTCAATGACATCAATGCTTTCATTGAGTGTTTTTGGCACAGTGAACCCTTGATGACTGAGAAGTTTAACTGCTATATTTGAATTAGCATAGGTTGTGGCATTTGAAGTTCTGAATTAAAATACTGAGTAGACAGGACTGGAAATAATATTTCTTTATTGTTTTAACACCTTTTTTTAAACTTGGCTCTTCAGATCTGTTTAATTCAGAGTGCAGGGAGAGGCAGACAAGTTACTGTTTATCCTAGCTGTATTTCTTACATACTCCTTTGGCATGTGTAGACAATACTTAGGTCTGAGACATGGTTTTGACTACTTCAATGCCATAATATACTTGAGAATTGTTCTGGTGCTCACCTGGCCTTTGGGAAGGAAAGAAAGAAAGGGAGAATTTACTTTCTTACCCTTTAAGGAGAATATTGTTGCTTTGGAATGAGATTTCTGCTGATCTGTAGTAAATAATATTTGCTGTAGCCCATATAAGTTATCTGTAAATTATTGAACTTTTGAATTGGTATTCTTAAATTACAGGATTTCCTTTGTTCATTCTTTAGTGTCTTGTCCTTTGGCAAACTTTCACAAAGGAAAATTAAAAGGCTTGAATTGATGGAACACACAGACTTGAGAAGTCATGATATGTCTTGTGTGTTGTAACTCAATGCAGGATTTTTTTACCTAGGATTTATGTTGCTTTGCAAAACCTGAGGAAGTAGTTCTCTGGACATGTTCATGTAAGACACTATTCAGTGGACAGTACATAACTACTGAGAAAGTCACTGTTGTCATATTGAACATGTATAGCCTCAGAAATTTTTCTTCTGTGTTCATCCCTAAATCCATAGAGAGGGGTTACGTGTATAGTTTCTTCTAACGTGGTTTTCTTATTGTTTTTTGTTTAGTGCATAAGCAGCCTGAGGTCTTACAATGAAAATATTGTCCAAATTGACAATGTTTTCATAGTACTTGTAAGATCCAGCCATCAGTTTGAGGAGAAGGATGCATTTGAAGCTTCATAGGATGCCTAAATATATACCAGATAAGGTTTGTTAGATCTTGGGTATCAATAGCTATAAAAATTTGGAAGAGACACCAAGACCAGTTTCTTCTTGTGTGTTTATCTCACCAAATTACTGCCATCTGCTTAGGGACCTCAAAGGTTCATTTCGTCTGTGATTGAGTAGAAGAGTGTAACAAAAAACCTCTAAGTCTGTGCTGAAATACTCTTTCCTGTTGGCCTTTTAAGATGCAAGGCATGACAGGTCAGGTGTAGATGGCATATGCAAATTGAAAATAAAATTTACAGACATTTCTTATTGGTATGCAACAAACTTTCTGAACAAAGTTCTTGATCAAATTTTTTTAAATAAAAGTGATGTACTCTTGCAAACCTATTCAGCACCCTGTAGTATAATAATTATAATAATTTATATTTTTATCTTCGCTTTTTTTTTCCACTGTTGTGACATCTTCAAGCCACACTGCTGGCTATGGCTTTCCAGTTCAAGGTAGCTTTAAGTTTCCTGGAGCATGATCTAATATTTCCTAAAGTGTCTGTTTCAAGGCATAGTGTTTTGATGGCTTGGCATTGAAAAGGATGGATATTAATTGGAAGTAATAGATGCCTACCTTTCGAGTTAAAACCCTTTTCAAAAATGAGAATTACTGCCTTATGTGGAATGCCTTTGTAGCTGCAGTTCTTAACACAATGTTATGTCAGCTTTTTTGCAGGTTCTACTTAAATTGCATTTGATTAACATAATTTGATGCATGTCATTTTGGAAACTTACCTAGCGAAGAGTTGTTTTTACCTGCACTCGGTTGTAGATATGACAGGATGATATCAGATGTCTTTTCTACTTTGCTGTGTGTAGATATTACATGCATCCCTCAGCTTCTGTTCTCACAGTTACTGGAATGTGATGCAGTAGTGCCTGAATCGCTGCTCTGTGCTGTGAGACCAGGATCACTGTGGGCACAGCACACTGTCAATAGGCTATGGCAGATTCCAGGATAGAGCTGCCTCTTGTGTGATTGTTTCTTTACAGGTCTTGGCCCTGTAGTTTATTGGAGAGGACTGCTTTCATTATCATTTCTAAAGGAATCTTGTTTAGTCCTCATTTCATTCCTCTCATATGAATGATTAGTAGGCTGCATGGAAGAACCAGCTAAATGGGGACCACTGATGAATTTTTTGGATTTTAAAACTCCTAGTAGATTCTATCCTTATGTAAGGACACATAATTTGTTTATTCAAGGTGTGGGGATTTTTGATTTTTTGTGTCTGTTAAAAAAACCCAAAAACCTAAAACATATATAAGTCTTAGAATTGTAGAAGCTTTCTAGAAGACCAGCAGATCAAATCCTTGTATGTCTTGCTGCACATAGCAGCAGTAGAAAAAAGTATTTTAGGACTTATAGCTTGTAGGTAAACTCAGAAGACTTTTTTCCTTGGTGAGTTTCATAACTTTAACTTTTTTAATATGTTTTCTCCCACTTATTTTATTAGTGCATTCCTGCTGCTAATCTTTCTTCTAAATGACTTCCTTGAGGGACCATGTAATATAGAATATTTACAGATAAAGCTTCTTGCTATAAAGTAAGCTTTTAGGGGAACAGTTTCCTCATACCTTTGAACATAAGAGATAAAAATTATTTTTTCTAAAAAGAGCTGGTCCAGAATGGCTAAGGTAATAACATTGTGTATAATTTGCTCATTTTTTTGAGAGGACTTTAGGAGGGTTTTGTCCAGTGAAAAACTTGTGGTACTAGTTAATGGGATTTATTTCTCAAACAGTGCGCTGTGGGATTCTTCTGTTTTTCTGCATTTAAAAAAATTCAATATTAATTTTTTTATTTACCTGTGATTCATATTTTATTATTTTTCCCCTCTTTTAGTGGCCTCAAGCAATCTGAAGCAGAGTCCTGCTATATGAATATAGCACGAACACTTGAATTCTATGGAGTGGAATTGCACAGTGGTAGAGTATGTTTACATTGTAATTTTTCACTTGGAAAATAAATTTATATACTTGTTTCACATTAATGTAATAGCAGTAAAAAAAAGTAGTATTTAAGTATTGACTTCAGCAGGTGTTCCTTTTAATTAGAGTTGGGTAATTTTTCAATAATTTCTGTATAACATAGCTGTTGGAATTTCAATCAAATAAGCTAGATCTCCTTGAAAGAGTAACAATGTATTTTTAAGATAAATTGTTTCATTACTACAATATATTTTACTTAATTTTAGTAAAGTTTCTGAATGTCTTAGCATGAAAGAAAATGAATGCTCTGTTTAGTACTGTTAGTTGGCAGGTGTTTTAAGAGTTTAATTAATCTGAATTTCTAACACTAATTTCTGAAGTGTTAAGAATATAGATATTTCTTTTTAAATTCCTTTATTCCCTGACACCAGGGTAAATGTAAGCAGTATTTAACAGCTTGAGAGATGACCACTAAAAATGTATTTGAAATCTTTCAAATACAGGGTGGGTATTGATGAGAAACATTCCCTAAATATTTTCCTAGCTACTGGCATTTAATTGTCTGATTCACACTATTCATTTGAGGTGAATCCCCCAAAATACTTTTTTATTTGCGTTCCAGTCTGCAAGTTACCATTTGTGCTTATATCTAATAGTAAATTGTTTTGGCATAAAGCTTGAAGTATAAAAACTAAATTAAGTGACTGCAGATGAATGATATCCTAAATGAAGATGACTATTGCTTTTCCTAACACTTTTCTGAGTTTTACTAATAATTCTGACATTGAGAATTTTAATGAAAAACTCATAAATTTCTCTAATGATGAGCAAGGAATTCAATGAGTAAGTTGATTCCTTCGTCATGATGCTTTCTTCTGTTTTTATTTTATGCTACCACAAATAAGTGCGTGTTGCATTAGATTTCTAGGAATTCCTAAAGTACTTCTGTGTGATGCCACAGTAGCTACATTCATATTAGTGAAATACAGTGCTCAAACAGTAGAGGCTTTTTTTTTAAGAATAAGGAAAAGTATAAGGGAAAGGAAATAATTAAAGTACTCCATCTCATATGAATATCAGGAGAGGCATCTGTCAAATGTAATCAGATAGCTTGGTTCACATGCATTGGTTGTATGTAAGTAATGTAGCATAAATGAACAAATTTCTTATGTTCCTGTGTCTTCTGACAGTGTAAAAGCCTTCATGATTTCTAGTATATGATTAACTTTAAATGGCAAATGGGCATCTTATTAAATTTGACGTTACCTAGGTTCATTGTCTATTGGGTCATCTGCCACCTTTTTGCTTTATTGAAGAATTCTTTACTGTTACACTTGAGATTTCCCTATATGCACTTAGCTTGATCAGTCTATACCTTTTAGCTTCTACTGTAGCCTAGTATTTTGATAAGCCAACTTAAGAGCATCACTATGTGGCTATTCTCTTAATATTCTCTTCATGGGATGCTATCTCTGAAAATTCTTCCAGTTTTCATTATTCTTCCTGAGTTGTAGGCCACTGAACTACACGCAGGATGTCAGTAGTGGTCATACCAGTGCCAAGTAATGAAGATGGAATTGATTCAGACATTTTCAACTAAAGGAAATTTCGTTGCAGTGTACTGGGCTGCTCTGTCTCAGTAGAAATACCTTCTAAAGAATCTGCCTAAACAGTGTTTTGTTGGGGTTTTGTTCCCCCATGCATTGCTTCATATTTAATGACCTCAGTCTCACAGATTGTCAGAAATCGTGAACTCATACCCTTCCTGACACTGAACTGTATGATCTGAATCAACTAGAGTACAGATATGAATCAAAGCCTAGTCTATTCTAGGCTGCTAAGATTCAGACTGTCTACTGTTTCAATCCAAAATAATGTTTTCATCACAATTCAATTTTTTTTGAAGTATGAAATATTTGAAGCTATCTGTTTTTTCTGGCACTTGAACTGAAGATCTAGACATATAGAAGCTGCTAGGAAGGTAATAGAAAGAAAAACAGAAAATATCATACCACCTTTTAAATCTGAGTTTTGATATAATTTGAATGTTGAGTTTCATTCTTCTTCTCCCTTCCTTATCTCAAAGTGGGTAATGGAAAAAGAAAAGTACAGAGAAGTATAACAATCATGAATATCTTAAGAAAAGCCTTCTACAGCAGGTGAATAGCATGGGAAATGTGAATAGCCAACAATTTTTAATTTTTTTTACTTTTGTTTTTTTGCTTTGATACTAAAAGATTTAGGAAACTTCAGTCTACCTGGAAAGTGACAGGTTTAAGTAAAAGGAACTTTTTCCATATGGCTGCAGTGGAACTGTAAGCATTACTGCTATTTTAATGGATGACCAAGGTGAACTAGGTATCACAAGCAGTTAGTCAGTGGAAGAATGATTCACTGGAGTCCACTAAACACACAAAAAGCTTTTGATCCAAGAAGTCCTTTAGCTGTAAGGCACTACAAGCTGAGAAGAGACATTATTTATTAGTAGGGATGTAATTGGTTGTCTCTGGAGTTTTGTACTTACAGGACATCAGTTACAAGTCATTGTTTGGATTGAATGCCTTGAGGCAAACCTTAGGGTCGATTATGTTCCTCAAGGCCTATAAGAAGTTTGTATTGAAGGTTAGATATCTCCCCCAATATACTGCTTCTTCACAGAGGCTGCCATGTTATATCCCAGCTTTGGCAGGGATGTTTGCAGTGCCTCCTGATATCCTCCTCCCACTTAGTACTGCTCCTTCAATCACCTTTCCAGTTTTCTCACATCCTAGTGCTTTGGATGGATTTGGCAGGGACTAGTTAAACTGTGGCTTTGTCAAAGCCTTTATATCTCTGGATTCTGACGACTGAGGTCTTTGCTACTAAACTAGTTTTAGTCCTCTTAGACTGTGTATGGCAGAAGAACCAGGTAACACCTGGCTTTTATACTAATGGCCAAAAGATGTTGGTGCTCCTGTACTGTTGCTTGAAAGTGGAATACTTTTGGATAATGTTTCTTGAAGACCAGATGAATATATAATTTCCTCGTTTCTTTTCATGATACAAAGTTAAATATTTTCCAGAAGTTGAGTGTGAGCTTTCTTTTTGGCAATTTGCTAAACATGGAACTTTTATCTGAGCTCAGTTCTTGTCCACAAACACTTTGGCTTTTTTTCTGATGATAAATCTGAACTGCTAAAATTGTAGTATTAAAAAATTAAATAATTTTTGGAAGCAGAGGAGAGTGAATTCAATATCTTAAAACTGTATTGACATTTCTTGAATTCCTGATCTCCTTTTGACTCTGGACAACTATCTTACTGGCTCAATAATTAGTCTGCTGTTAAGTCATCTTTCGTTTTTACTCAGCCACTCAAAGGTAGGAAATTTGTTAAACCAATATTATTCCCATATCTACAAAAATCAAGATGCTAATGGTAAATTAAATCAAATGTGAACCTGTACTTAATTAGTTACATGCTTGGCATGATATTTTTTTATCTTTAAATTTTTTTTATTATTATTTCTTTCACGTTATCTGTTCCTTTTTATAAATAGATGCGTGTTATTTCTTTACTGTACAATTTAACAACATAGATATTTTGAAAGAGAAATAACTGCACATCAATATCATATTTCTTTTGGGAGATCCTCTCTTTATGCTAGTCCAAGATCTAGCTTATAATAACAAATAACAAAGAGCATGGGAGATTAGTGGTTTGTAGTGGAGCAGAGAAAGGTAGGGAATGAACTTTGTTCTGACAAAGCTCTTGAAAAAAATGGAGTAGTTTAGCCTAATTAATCCCTATCAAATGTTTAGCTAATCCTTTATTTCTGCTAAATCATGTCGATTTTCAGCTCTTTCTCCTAAAGCTGTTTTTCAAGGCAGAGACAGCTTAATTGCGTGCAGTTCATCTCCTGAAATACCTCAGTTTTCTCCCCAAATAATAAAATAAAGGGGTGGGAGTTCTGGATTCCTGTATTATACTGGCATAAACTGACACTTTGGGAGCTTCTTCCAATGAAGATTCAACCAGCTCCTCTAGCAGCAGTTTCTGGCAATGTGAGGCAGTGGTGTGCTGAGGGTTCTGGGTTACTTTGAGTGTATTTGGCATGCTACCTATTTACTGATTTTCATTTTTAATACTCTGAGAGGCAGATATTCCTCTCATCTTGCTGAAATTCAGTGCACCAGTATTCAGTGTTAATGCACTGTGTATTAAATAGGTTATGCTCATTCTCTGTGAACGCTGTGCTATTTCACTGAAGGTTTATAAATCACTTTGCAAATTAGGTTGAGCTTCACTCATTCATATGCCTGAATCACTTCTATTGAACTGTTTTGAAAGGATTTATTGAAGATTTTCTATGCTATTATCAGAGCACATACTACCTGTTCTATTCTTCCATACCTTACTAATATAAAGAAATTGGGATTGGACATGGTGGAAAACTATATATTAATTGAGCACAGAGTACCATCTAGAGGAGCAGCTATGTTACTGAAGGCTTTCAGAGCATCCTTTACCATTGGCAATCCTTTACAAAATAGTCTGAAACTGCTTTTGAGTCAAACCTGATGTTTTAGGCAATGGGTTCTACTTCTACAAATGGATTTACATAGATGTTGAGCTCTGTTTAGAAATTTGTGTAATAACATATTAATATGTATTGATCATGAGAAACAGGAAGCCAGTATTTCTACCTTCTGTAACATCAGTCAGGGTTTAGACTCAAATTGACCATTCAGAATCCTTCTCCCTGCCTTTTTTATTTTTTTTTTTTTTAAATTCAAATGTCCGCTTATATGGAAGAATGTGTTTTCTCTTGAGTATCTCAATACCTGGAAAGGATGGTACATATATGATTTTTTTTTTTCCTTGCTGAGTGTTAAGTGAATGCACCATTTTTATGTAGTTAATAATGGATTTAGTTGAGTGTATCAAATATTCACAGATACATGTATATTTCTCCAAAATACTCTCATATGCAAAACTGTGGTCACCTCTCCTATCAGTCTTTATTGCTAAGACATTTTTTTTTAAAAAAAGTAATGAATTATTTCTCCGCTCTTTTAAACTACTTATAATCAGTCCCAAAATTCTGTGACACTTACCTGACTAATCTTGGGAAGTACTTGAACTTCTTTCCAATGCTGAAATCAATAAGGCTAGACTTGCAAATTTAGTCTGATACAGACCTAAAGAATATCCAGTGTAATAGGATGAACTTTACAACTTGTTTTAATGAATGAAATTTAGAATACCTATTAGATAACATCAAAGGAAAGGGAGGCATGAAAATCAAAGCTCAAATATGTTGCTGAATTTTTTCCTCAAGGATAGCAATTTAAATATAGAAAGCTTGAAAATAAATTTATAAGTAGATAAATGGGAATGACACAAACTGCATCAGTATTCTTACAGTGTTTTTCTTTTGCAGGATCTCCATAATCTAGATCTTATGATTGGGATTGCATCCGGTGGAATTGCTGTATACAGAAAACTCATCTGTACAAGCTTCTATCCCTGGTAAATTCCTTTACTAGTAAAGAAACATGTCTAGTTTTTTTAATATTTTTTCCATTTGCTTTCACATTTATTCCAAAGAAACCTACAGTAGATAAATTTGTTCTTTATGGAGTATCATTGTATTTCATTGTGTTGAGATAAAAATGAAACCTGTTGCCTAGGCTTTTAATTCCATAAGGCTTTTGAACTTCTTGCATTGTGTGAAGTCTTGATAAAGTTAATTCACATACAGGTATGCATACATGATTAGGAGGACCCTGTGATCTTAGAGATTTGCTGCTGTTATGCCCCATAGTATGTCTTCAAAAAAACCAAAACCATAAAAACAAAACAAGAAATCAAACCAAGAAGTCTTCTATTAAAGCTCAGCAACTAACTGTCTGAACATTTTATCCTGACATTCAGAAAGAAGATATTTGCTTCTTGGGAAAAAAAACAAAACAAAACAAAATATAAAATGAGTTATTGGGTGTTTGAGATTTACTGGAATTAGGATAATATGATTTAGGCAAATTTTTAGATGTCATCAAACAAGGATATATAACAGTAACAAGGTTTGGAGTTGGCAGGGGAGAGACCTTTACATTATTCTCTAATACTGAAAACATCAGAATGCAGGATACTGTCATAGAAAATAATCTCTACGAAAACCGATGTGCACTAGGCGTCTAAAGTGAATGACAGGAGAAATTATTTAAGCTATAGTTTTTGATGGTACTTATGGGCTTTTATTAGTTATACCATACTAAAAATGATAACATAAATTAGAAAATTATATGGAGACTGGGTATCTTCTTAAGGTTTTTGGATTGGATCAGAATGAATTTTTCTCAGTCTTTTTTAAAGTAAGGATTAATTTTTTTTAAACTTGATAAACTATAGCTTTGTCTTGTTATCCATTATTTCTTCATATAATTTGTAACTATTTTTCTGGAGAACTTTTTCAGTAAGATGATATAGTGTTCTTAATTATGACAGAAAAATACATTCCAATGGGTTCTACTTGCTTTTTGTTCCTTGGAGTCCTTAGCAGCATTCTTTAAATACTTGAGTCACTCCATCCTTTCATTTATGAACCCAACTAAACAGCTTTTTACTCTAGAAAAGCAATAAAATCAGCTTCAATTTAAATTTTAGTGGAAAATATACTGCATGGTCTCTGGATTTTTCTTTTTTTTAATTTACTGTGAGTTGCATTTCAACTCCCCTGGATGTACTGCAATCATCCTAGATAAATGTATGTTAATAATAATGCTATCACACAGCAGCACAGTAAAAACTTGGATTTTCCTTTGCTAATGCACATTAAAGCACAAAAGACTTTTATTTTTCATTTTTGTACCCTGAGCATTGCTCTTTCATACCTCAGTCTCTCGGCTTCTTAAAACAGCTGCAGATTTTAAAAACTGCCAGCTGGAGGCACATTTTCTGTCTCCTGCAGGTCTTGCTCTGCCAACTTAGTGACCTAAGTGAGGTATGAATGGATAATAGTTATTCCTGAAAACCATAGCAATGGTATTTAAAAATCTTTGACTATATGATTATTTTAGGGAAGGGAAAGAGTTTATAGCGCACAAGACAGGAGGAATCTGCAACTTCCTGTGCTACTGTTACTCCTGGAAACCACAGAGGAATAAAACACAGATGCTAAAACATTTTTCACAAAGGCTTATTCTCATTTACAGAAAGAAGTTGAGGGGGAAAAAAAACCCACAGGTTTTTCAGTTCACATGATTTCCACTCTAAAGTACAAGGTTTAGGCAGTAATATTTTCAGCTGACAGCTATTGCAATTGTTCCCAAGCTGTCCTACACACTCTCCCTCTCTCCCTCTCTCTCTCTCTCTCTCAGAATATCTTCTCAACTTGAAAGCAGGAGCTCCCCATATAGGGGCTAACCTTTTTGATATTTTATTTCTGGCATCTTGCACGAGGTAGTCATTATTCTTTCATGAAAGAATAGTGTCCATTCCCTGTTTCCCTCCAAAACAAGCAAATGCCGAAAGTGTCACTGCTGCAAAGTAGCTTGGGGTGCATTTTTAATATGCATTCTCACTTTCATTTTACACTCCAAAGCAGGATATGTTTCTGTAATGCCCTTTCACATAATTGAAATGGTACTTATTTAGGCTTTTTATGTAACACTCTTTGTACTAAATAGTTTTTCCTACGTCACTATTAATATGATAGAACTCAAGGTGGCAGCAAACACCATCAAGGTGCTCTTTCCAAAATTTTAAGTAAAATACTCTGCAGCATTAATGGATGACAACAATACAACTATGCCATATGGTAGTAGTCAAAGGGAACCGAAAGTTTTCAGGAACAGAGGCAGTGAGAATTCTACTTTGGCAAAAGGAGGATTTTCAATCAAAGCAACCTACGTGAGGAGCTGACTGATCAATGCAAGCTAAGATAGGTTTAAAAAATAACTCCAGATATAACACAGTATTTTATATGCTCTGGAAAGTTATTCCTGATGGTGCTTAAGTGTTCTGTGGTAGTTTTCAAATTGATTTTGCAGGTAAAGTATTATCTTAATGGCAAAGACATACAAACACTCTCTACATCAGCAGCAGTTTAAGGTTATGTATTAAATACTATTCTCCGTATGCAGTTTCGTTGCTTTGAAAGCTTCAGAGAAACTGATAGAGCAATGCATACTACAGTGCTAGTCAATTTTGAAAAACATCTCAACTATCTTGAATAACAAATTTGATAGAACCTTTCCTGCTGAATCTGTCAATGGCAAATTGTGGACTTACAGGTAAAGAAACATTTTTTTCTTCAAGTCACAAGTACCAACTGCTAGCATTAAGTACTAGGATAGGACTGCCAGTTTAATCAGAAATTAGCAATTATATGGCCCACTGAGTGACAAATCTATTTTGATGCTGTGAATGACAGGAAGATGGGACCCAAAAGATGTATTATTTTTAATATGTTACAACTATGAAGTGCTTTATAAGTAGACCATGAAATTTAATGATTTGTGAACGTTGCTTAGTTAATGATTTGTGAATGTTGCTTGGTCACTGGACAGATTATTGGTGAGAGAGAAGGACAGCTGAGCCACCAGTTAGAATAACAGTAACTGCATTCTATTCAGATAATTTTTGGATATGGTATCTTCAGGCACTTGTTAAATCTAAATCCTTTGATACCTTAATCTCTTGGATCTTTTTGTTGACTTTCTTGGATCCTTTGGATTTTGCTAGACGTGAACGTTCACTCAATTTGTAGGCATAACATTGCAAATGATTTTTAGTTAATGCTAAATAAAACTGTCAGATTAACAAGTGTTCTTTGTCCCTGAACTAAATAGGTTTAGTTGTATTAAAGAAGAATGAATGGAATTGAGAGGGGTGTTCTACTTAGAAGAGTGTAAAAATAAAGAGAATTAAAGCCCTGGCTTTGGTTTAAAGTGGTTATGTGATCATACAGTGAATCAAGGTTTAAAAAAAAAAAAATAGCACAGGATAGAGCAGAGAGATTGAGAGAGTTTTAGTATTTTGGGATGCTGACTCCCTTTTTATTCTTGAATGGAGGAGTTCCTGCTTAGTCTGCAAGACTGCTTTTCTGTGTCCTGCATTTCTACTGGCTCGGTGTTAGGATAACAGCAGATCATGGAAGCAACTGTGCAAGCTGAGAATGACTCCAAAAAGTTGTTTGCTAAAGTTTAATCTGAGTTAAGAAATGTGGTGAGAATGAACCAGTAGCACAAAACTGGAGTGGTACTAGTTCAAGCAGAGTAGTACTAGAATCGAGGAAAGATTTGTATATAATGAGTTGCTTCTCAGTGAACACAACTGAAAATTTATATGACTTATCAGGTAGTTCAGAATCTGGAACTTTTAGACGAGCAACACAGATCACTGTCATTTGAGGTAGCAAGTCAAATGACAGAAATATTTCAAGAGTTGGCCAAACAGGAGAGGTGGACATGATTTCAACTTTTCATTCATTTGTGCATTGGTTTACCTGGTCGTGAAAGAATCGTGTTAATGCAATTCTTTTTTCTCTGTGGTTCTGTAAATGATGGAGAAAAGCATTTTCTGAAATTGGTACACACTCAGTTTTCCACACCTTGTGCAGGAGTGGGGATTGTTCATTGCATTACCCTTCTTGCTAGTAACTGGCAAATATACTGTCCTATATTCAGGAAGGATGTTGCTCTATAATTCAAGTGCATCTGCCATGGGCAGTGGGGAATGAATTTTATGCCCTTATCCCACTTGATGAGAGTCATACAAGAACTGAGATGACTTTCAACATAATTCATACCTGATGATATCTAATGTCCTCTGAAACATTCTCGTCAACAGGACTTTAAGCAGCAAACTTCCAAATGCCTTTTTAAGTTTTTTTTACCCTTACAAATATGACTTAATCAAACCTTAAACAGCTTACTTAAGTCATCCATATGATTCCAGCTGACTGCAAGAGAATTCTTTTTTCTGAAAAGTGTACCTTTTCAGTTACTGAAGTAGAACTATTGCAGAGAAAAAAATAGGTATTTTAGACAAATCTTGTTTTGCTGTAGGAAGATGCGTAGGTAGGTAGAATTTTGTTTAATTTAACAAAACTGATAAGCTTATAATTAAAATGAAAATTGCTTGCGCACCAATTCCAGTTGTGATCTTTACCTTATAAAATATATGTTCATACTGTGTATATATAGACAAGAGGTGTTCAGTTCTAAAATTACCACATAATTTACATAGCAATATTAATGAAGTGAAAAATATATTAACATCCTTTCTTACAGTTTTCATTCTTCTATGGTTATGATTTTATCTACAAGATGTTTTTCGTTATTAACACAAGTACACAATATTTTTATCATTATGAAATCAATTCTCTGAAGCCTCTGGGAAGTTTCCATTGTTGTATGACCAACCTTGTCATGTCATGAGGGTCTTAAATTTTGTTCCTTTAGTCACACTTGTCATATGACTCCAAAGTTATACAAAACTTGACACATTTAACATTTGTGCAGCTTAGCAAAAGGATGTCATCAAGCTTTTGCTGCAAGAATAGATTTGGTGGGAGAGAACTGCTGTGAACTATTTAAAGAGTATATGAGGATATCTATTTGCCACTCAACACAGGAGATGGCTGCATATTATTCATTGAATATTTAACAGCTATAATCTTTCAGACTCACGGTATGCAATATTATTTTTCATTGTTTTATCCCTCTAAACACTGTTCAATATTTCACCATCTGTTTCTTTCTTTTAGGGTGAACATATTAAAAATTTCCTTTAAAAGGAAAAAGTTTTTTATACAACAACGGCAAAAACATGTAAGTAGTCGTCTAATTTTGTTTTGATCAAGTGCTCATATTCAATATTTTTGGCTTAAATGTAAGCAACAAACTACTGATCAAAAGTTTCTGTTGTGGTAACTTGCCTTTGAAATTCTGTTTTGTTAACTTGGTCTTACTATTCTGGTCCTCTTATTCTCTCTCTGCTTCCCATTTTTTGTTTCCTTTTCAACACTGAATCCTTCTACTTTTGATCTATTGAACTGTATCTTTCCTATGAAGGTTTCATCTCCCTTTGGAGACTTGGGATAAATGCAGGTCTCCATTCTTTCTCCAATATTTATTAAACTAGCATATTTCCCTTTTCTTGCCAGCATCTGCTGCTTTTTCTTTTGTCGCTTTCCCTGCCCTGTAGAGTTACTCAGTGCAGTGAATCTACTAAGTAACTGCTGCGTGGAACATGGAGGGCATTAGAAGTTGTCAAAGAATGTGAAGATATTTGATAAAACTATTGTAAAAATTTTCTATTGTTAAGAGTTGGCTTCGTAATGCTGTGTGCTCTTTGCAGAACAGCTGAAATATTAGTCTATTTAATGGGAGGGAAAATCTTGATTACTGATTATTATTGTACTGACACAATACAAAACATAAATTAAGATATCTTTTTACAAAGACCATAGAATATTTAATATGACTGTAAAAACCAAAAAAACGCTGCAGAAACTAGTGACTAGCAGATGTATAAATATTTTAATTCTGTTCAGGACAGAACTCAAAGACGTAGTAGAAGTGTTAACTTACAGCTAAACTTCATGAAGGCTCTTTCTGTGAGTAAATGAGCTCTTAAACTGATAGGAACTGTGTTACAAGAAGACCTTTTGACCTACATAGACTAGAGAGTCTGCTGAACGCAGTTTTCCATGGAGGCTTTTTTTACCCAAAAGGAAAATATTTTCATATTATTTCTTTCCCATGTGTCCTTCTTTTTTCCCATTTTGGTGGGTTCTTTGAAATTTGAGTAGTGTGCAAGCATACACATGTTACTTTTCAGGATTCACGTGTAAACAAAGTTAGTATCTAGAGATGATGTTACTGCACTAATGCTGCACAGACGCATAGCATGCACGGACTGTGTCCTAACCCACTCTAAGGGGATCTCAAGTTTTTTTTTGTTTTTTTTGCTATCTCTAAGTTTCTAACTATAGTGTTTATACGCAAACATGTCACAGTCTGTTCATATGTACTTCACTGCATGAAGAAAAGAGGGGTGGACAAACCATTCTACTAGTTTGCGAGTGCAATAAAGTTACTCTTGCAAGTATTACCTTCCTCTGGGTTTGAGGATTAAAAAGTCACTGATAAGTTCTAATTTTAAAATCTAAATATCTTCATATATACAAATATAGGCAGGCTTATGGGCAGCAATTTCCAAGTGTGTCTGTGAGAATAAATGTAGTAACAGAACTCTTATAGAGTGATTAGTAAAATGGAGGTTGGAATTAGATGATCTTCAAGGTCCCTTCCAACCCTAACCTTTCTTTGATTCTTACAGTGGTTTTGGAATATGGAAAAATGAAGTGTCCATAGAGAACAGTCTCTGTACTTAATATAAAATATCTGTATTCATTAAATATGATTAAATAAAATTCATTCAATAAAGACTTGACTGCTGTCAAAAATTGAAATTTTCTTTCTGGAGACTTGTGTCACTTTTGAAGAGAGCAGCAATCTTAATTTGTTCAATTAAACATTTGATAAATGATGACAGTTTAAGGCTCTTGATTCTTTTAACTAATCTCCCTTTGATTGATCATAATTCTTTGTTTTTAATCTACGTAGATTACAGTAATACACACAGTATTATGCTTAAAGAGCTACAGAAAAAGAAGGCCAGCTGCATGACCTTTTTACTATTTCTCAATACATATTAAAAAGCAGACCAGGTGTGCTATTAAATCTGTGGATATATCCATCCTTGTCAGCCCCCTTTGCTTGGAATTTAGGGCAGTAAGTCTGCAGTACTCCCATGGTATTGCTTGAAAAAATTTACTGTTGCAGTGCACTGAGACTGGAGTCCGGGGGGTTTTGCCAGAACAGTGGGTCGCTTGAGGGATTTGTGAGGGCAGATGACTGAGTTGGTGTGAGTCTTTGGGTTGATTAGCTCTTTGCTTGGAAATATAGGAGGAAATAGTAAATGAGGCCACAAGTAAGGAAGATGAAAGAATGTGGGAAAAATAGAACAGATACTGTATATTCATAGGCAAGGTTTGACTAAAGATGATGATAGTGCTATAGCACTCTTTTATGTTTTGTATGTCATATGTAGATTCTTTACAAAAATCTATGGGAAGTACCCAGAGGCAATGAATTTGCAGTCCTCTGGGATCTACCATGTTTCATTGATTTATTCTCCTTATTTCCTTTACTCCATTTTTCTTTCCTTATGAGCCTTTTCTGAAAACTCATCTCACTCTTTTCCTGCTACTCACATTCTCTTTTACCCTCCCACTATTTCAGTCCATTGATCAGCTACTTGATTAGGAGTATGCAGTATTCAATTTCTACTGAGGTAGGTAAGGACTAGGGAGCAAGTCTTGCACTCTTCATTAAGTCTACAGTAGATTTAATGTAGGAATAGGAACTGTGCTGTTTACAGACAACATTTTGAACCTTTCAGAAACAAAATTTTATTTTCAGTGTGCTTATCTAATACTTGAAAACAATTTTTCTGCATATTAAAATATATCTTTACTTTCTATGTTGTAGATATTTTCGGATATTTAATAGGCATACAACTGATGCAAAGTTCTTCCATATGCTGAACTAGCAAGATGTTCGCTTTAGCTATAGAGAATTATTCTCTTTACCTTAATGGCCACAAATTTCTATAATCCTCATTTCTTGGTAATTATTAACATGCCATTTTTGCAACTTCAGAAGTATGATGGACATTAGATCCTTGGATCCCACTAGAAATCTCTTCACCTTTGAAACAGATTCAATAGCATGACTTGCAGTCGTGGCCTGTTAGTGAGGCAGATTGTTATGTTAATATAGAAATTGAATAAGTTTTTCTGCAACTTCTGAAAATATTTTTCCTAGTTTTAAGTCCATATTAAAACTCTTAGCTTGCTTAGAACCTGCTAAGAAGTTTCAGTGATAACAGTTGGGAAAAAACCACTTGTAATGAGCAAAATTCATTACTATTTTCAAACCTAAATTTAAAAACAATATCAGGTGTACTGAATTCTTTATCTTTACATTATGGGTTTTCAGGATAATTGAGATGTTTGGGTAAAATAATTTTTTTGGCAACTGAAAAGCTACTGCTTCAGGCCAACGAAAATATCTATACACTTCAAGTTTCTCTACTGGAGTAGTGAAACCCTTCAAGTGGTGTTCAACCAACAGGGAGTATGTCAGAAATGGCATTTGTCATTAAATCTTTCACTCATGTGTGCTTTTTATATTTCAAGAAATTCTGAGTTAAAGTGGGCAAGGATAATGATATTTTATATAACCTACTCAGAAGCAACTTTGGAGAACTGAGAAAGATCAATTGGTTGCAGTATACAAGAGACTCAAAAAGCCCTACATCTGAAAAAGAAAATATTTTATAAATGTTTTAGTAGTTATAGGGAAAGCATTCCTAAAAGATTGCGATCAGTTAAATGTTCTTCAATACTTCTGTAAAATCAAGAGGCAAATCTTTTTTTCTCTTTCTCTTGAGATTCTCATTGTTTTTGTAAAATAGCAACTGAAGTCATAGATTCTCTGAACTAGACATGAAGTGACTTGCAGAATGTGAGATTGATCTCTGATACATGGCATTTGTAAAATGTGGCCTAGAAATTAAAAGAACACAAGAAAAACAGATTGAGTATTTGAGCCAAAATGGTCTGTAGTTACTTCCCAACAGGATTGTTGCTGTGAACTAGCAAAAGGTTGCCTACTTAATTATATGTTGAGATGTCAAAATCAGTCATAACTCAGAACCGCTGGAAAAGATGAGTGATGAAATCTTGCTTTTTTTTTCACTGAAGTGCTGAGCTGTGATAGTAACTGACTAGGGTCTCATGTTATCTTTATTGCTCTTCTTTGCTTTGCTCTCATTCCCCTTTCTTTGCATCAATAACTAGATTAATAAACCAAAGCTATATCTTTGCAAAACTCTTGGGCATAAATGTGGGTGGCACAATTGTGTTACACCTGTATTTCACTGGCACTTTGGCACTGAAGTTACTTGTAAGAGTTTGCACCAAGAATACAAAATGCAAGTTTTATATTCTGCTCCCTTCTGATCCTCCTTGTTGTGACCTCATGTCATCATCCAGGAACAGGATTAGATTTGAAGAATAGTAGCAGCAGCTCCAGTCCCACCACAGCTACTTTCTTTTGCCCCAAGATGGATCACTGTTAACATTTTCAGTTTCTTCTAAAAGACTCTCAAGAATATGCTCTTTTGAATACTACAGCACTTGAAAGAACATTATTGAACTAAAGCCTTCTGTGAAGAATTTGAATTCGAAGAATGAGGGTTTTTCTTTTTCACACTGCACACTTAATGGAATGTTTTAAGGAATTTTGTTAATCTTAAAAGGTCAAGATCTGACTGGAAACCTGAAAATCTATTTAGTTGTTTAACATGACACTCATATATATAAAATCTTTACCACTTTAGGCTTACTTAATTCATTAACTTCTAAAGTGAACGTTTTGCAGTTTAGAATTTCATGTGGTCACAGGGCTATTTTGCCCATCTCCAGCTCAAAATCTACTACATGTTGATCTTTTTTCCCTAGATGTATTTTTTCCTCTTTAAACTTAAAATAATTTTACTGTTGTTTTATGAGTGTGTTTACTGTTTTATCTGCTTGTATATATTGAAACATAGTATTTCCTACTGTTACAGAATGAATCCAGAGAGCATATTGTTGCCTTCAACATGTTAAATTACAGAGCATGCAAAAATCTGTGGAAATCTTGTGTAGAGCATCACACATTTTTTCAGGCAAAGAAGTCACTACCTCATGAAAAAAAGATATTATCACATTATTGGACCCTGGGTTCCAGAAATCCAACTAAGTAAGTATTGTGTGAAAACATATTTTGCTCTGTGATGGGAATCGGAGGATTTGTGTCAATGGTAGCTCAAGTTGGAGTGGCAGAGCTCAATCCTGCCAATAGCTCCGTCCCAGTCTGTATGTGAACCATTTGAAAAGTTATATAGCTGTGGTTTCAGTTTCTGCAACATGGTATCATTACAGTAGAACTTCTCTTATAATTTCCTAAAAAGGTGTTTGAATATATGTTTTACTGGTATTTTTTCAACTCTCTGGTTCAGTTTGTGGTATAAAAACACTAGAAAGTAAAAATGTCATGTAGCTAATGATCCAGTAAGAGAATTTGCTGAACAGATTTGTTTTGAAATGTTCAGCCCTTAGTGTCATGTACACATTCTGTTTAAATATGTTAGGGCATTTTTTGGAGTGCATCATACCAACCACTTATTACTGACACAAAGATGAAATGCTTTGTCCCGTTCAAGTATCCAAGTGTCTCCTTTGGGGACACTTCTAATCCTTCATTTGTCGTGTTAAGTTCTTCTAGTCATGGAGTTGGTTGTTTCATAATGTTACCTAAAGTCTAGTGATGAAGGTGGGATTATTCCTTCCCATATGCAGTAACTGAGACCCGTTTTATTAAAGTTAAGGTGCCAGTTTATCGTCTAGTCACTTGACATTGTAATGTCCTTCTCCATTTCTTTGTAATTGACCTTTATTTTTACCATCCTGTGTGATTTTTAAAGTGGGAGGATTTATAGAAGTAGTTCTGCTCTTTTATCTTAGAGACATTTTGATAAGTAGCGGTCCTAGAGACTTATTTCATTATGTTGATTTGTTCTGTTGTTTCACTTATCAACAATGTCAGCTATAAATGTGTCATGTCCTGTGTCTTCATTGTCTCATTGATATCTGGTCCCCACCCACCCACCCCACCCCCCAAAACCATTCTGTAATGAAAAATAAAGTCTTATGTCATTATCTTCTTTGAATGTTAGATTCTGGAGTGTTCTTTGATCCTTTAATCATCTATATTCTCTGTAGGCTCTCTAGAAATCTTCTTGTTCTGATGATTTTTGGAAAAGTGTTCATTTTATCGTTTTCTTTTTGGTTTTGTGTAGTGCGCGTTTGTGTAGGTTTTTTTGCAATGTGTTCCCTTAACAGTTTAACTTTACATTTAATTTGTCAGACTGATTTCCTCTTTTCTATTGGGATAAGCTTCAATTTTTAAATGATATCATACTTCAAATAGTCTCGTAGACTTAGGTGGCTCTCTGGCTTTTGATACTCTCATGACTCTTAAGATACTGCAGAAATTCATACTGAGTGGACTGGTATTTCTTGTAGATGAAGTAGTTAGCCCATGAGAGCTGTCCAGCTGATAAAATATTACATTTTCTGCTGGAGTGGAATTCCGTGTTTTCACCTAGTACTAGATCGTAGCTAGATGGTCTGGTTTCTAGATAGTAGAAAACAAGTAGTTATATGAACAGTATTCTAATTTTCTATCGGTTTACAGATCCACACTTTTAGAATTAGCTCCTTTGTGGAGTGATAGGAACTTGTTCTTCCTATAGTGGATGTGTTGAGGAGGTGACTCTCAAAGTTTGTGGGATTGTCAAGTCCTAGAGTCCTTTATTTCTCTCAAATTTGCAAAGAGATTCAAAATCCCAATGCTCCTATATACATATATACACACAGGCATTGCACTGCATTTGTAATGTTAAGAGAACAGCATGAGTTCCAAAGGGTCCCAGTTTAGTATCGTTCCAATTTTTACCAAACATTTTATGTTTTAAAGGCTGCTGTTGCAGCTTCTTAATAGCCTATGGCAATGCAGGATAGTTCTCATTGTTGATCTGAGTTACTAAAGACAGAATTCTGTTCAAGTAATAATAATAATAATGGCCAGTCTTCGCGAGCGAAGAACCGGGGAAGGTCTTTACACCTTCCAGCCTGCGCACTGGATTTTTTAGATGAGACACAGTGTGCGCAGAACTGAGCCCACCCTTTAATCCTAAGGTTCATCTGCTGGGGCCAAGCGAGCTTGGACGGTGGCAGCGAGGTCCTTAGGACGTAGATGGGTTGCCTTTTTAAGAGCTAACGAGCTCCACCTGCCCAGGAGTGGCCCTGAATCAAACCCGGGCCTCAGAGGTGACAGCGCCGCGCCCTTACCACTAGACCACCAGGGGCTCCGCTGTTCAAGTAATTTCGTGTTCCAAGACCCTGTATCTGCTGAATTGCTTACTTAGACTCTTAAGGAATCTCTTAGGGTGACAGTCTTTGTGATCTCTTCCATCAGCTTAATGCACTATGCATTCTTTGACCCTATTTATACCAGCAACAAGCGTGAAGTTTAGGATCCACGTGAGGGAGAAGTGACTCAGGAACAAGTGCTATGAAAGATGACTAAAGTACGTAAGAAGCAACAGTAATTTCGGAAGACTTTGAGTAGTTCCTATGAACTTGGTCACTGTCACTTGGCAAAATTAATTGCTCAAAAGCTTTAAGATAAGGGGTGAACAAGTAACTTTTGAAGTCATGTGTCATATTGAAAACTTTTACTTTCCTACTTGCTTATGATTGTGGAATGTTGTAAGAGACAACATGAGTTTCCTTGTTGCTTTTCAAGGATGGCTCTGAGCTCATGGTGGAAGCTACACAACTGAAAAAGAGGTTCTGCATTCCCTCTTATGAAAGGGATCAAATTTTTACATTGCACAAATCAAACAAACACAAACAGACAAACAAAACACAAAATTAAACACTCACACAAAAACCCCACAAACTACATCATGCAACCCTGGAGGTTTTGAGATTGACTTGCGTTCAGTAATTCTTTCAATGCAACTTCTGTCAGCTTTAAAGGTGGCTACATTCAGGTTTTACCATCTTAAGTATCACAAATTTTCCTGTGGAATTTGTGGCTTTCTGATACTATGTTCTTCTACCTTACATGAGGCAGATAGCCTAGCATTTATTGCATGAGTTCAGATAGTTGAACTCTTGCAATACTTGAGTACAATCTCTTATTTGCAAATCTCTATGCCATTCTAGATTCTTTTAGCTTAACGTACTAGTGGAATTCCTTTTAAATTAGGCTTCTGAGTTGTATAAATTACCTGAAAACCTTATTCTAGGAGCAGCCTGAATCATATCTCCCAGGTTCTGAGAGGTTAGTTCATTCAGTGCTTCTGGCCAGAATGCTGAATAACCTCTCCTGGGCACATTTTCATTCATTGCTGAGAAGCTAAAAATGTATCTGTTTTTTCACCAAGGATAGCCTCAGTAATAAATGGGAGAAAGGAACTGTCACTTCAAGATATTAAAACCTATTCCAGAAAAGCTTTGGCAGCCTCCCAGAATGTTTGCTGAGAAATATCCTGATATTTGGCATCTGAAGGGCAGCTACGTGGAGTTCAGGAGATTATTTATCTTATGTGTCTTAACTGAAATATCTAGAGAACATACTGTGTAAGTGATTTGATGGTCACAGTTAGGGGTTTGGGATTAGAGTTAGGGTTTAGGGCTCTGGCTCCCATCACATGAGTAATGTTGCACTTCAAAAGTCAACTGCATTGGAAAATGCATGAACAGACACTTGTAAAAAAGAAAAGCTGATTAATGTGGACTTGTTCAAAATGCTTTTTTCATAATGCATCCTCTTTTTCCAATCTCCCTCTCTGCTCCAACCATGTAAGCCTTCTTTGAAAGAATTCTTTGTTTCTCTAGAAGACCAGAGTAGTTGGTGCCTTGTCACTGGTATTTAAAAGAATTAGAAAAATAAAATGGATAATACAAACAAAAGCTTTTCCTGAGTTCATGGACTTTTTTTTACTAAGCAGAAACCATACATGGGTAGCTGATTTTGATATGCAGACAGTTCAAATTAGTTTTCCCTCTTTGTTTTTTATATTGGGAGAAGCTTTAAAAGTACGTTTGGAAGATGAAGGAATTGATTTCCTTTAAAATCATGAACAAGATATGCGACATACTTCAGTGTATATATAAAAAATGTTTGGGTTGCATTTTCTTTTACTTATATAAACAAAAAACAGTACAATGTAAAGTCTGCTTAAGGTTTGATATTAGTGTAATATCCATGGCATAAGCAACATTTTTCTTTTAATTTCTTTTCAGCTCTGTAGTAGAGTATTCACCTACTCTCTACTATCCCAACTGCTCATTATGTACAACTCAGGTCATAATGAACCAAAGGTGATTTCTCTGTAACTCATACATTGCTTCTTTTCCATGAGAAATCCTAGACCTGTGAACTCGAGGATGAGCAGCTTATCTCCCTGCTCTTGGGGAATGCTCTATAAAAAGAAGCATAGAAGTTAGTTTATCTCAGTTTCAGTCTACTTAAAAATTTTCCTTATACCGAATAATTTCACTAGTAATATATTTTTATTGCTTTCCTAGCTGAGGTTCTGGTTCTGATGCAACTCTTATCTTGTCAGATTCTTGTCCCAAGAAGCAGACTAGACTTGGAGATCCTATTTGCATGTCAAATCTTTTTCTAATTGCTTATTCCTATAAGGAACACTTCACTCAAACGAGGCTTCCTTCCAGAAATAGAATGTTGTCTGGAGTAGCTCTTACTTGATGAGGCAGCAGGTAGATGTGTAAAGTTGTCCTCTGCATGTGAAGCTACTGGTGAATTGTTGTCTCTTTACGCATATTAACAGGGAATCTCTAGAATATTTTACCTGTATTTGAACTGTGTTTTGTCAGGCACTGGGTTCAGTGCGAGCATGACACACTGAATTTCCTGTTTTCCTCTCCATCTTTTTAAACGCAATTGGTTTAAAAATCATTCTTAGAAAAAGTTATTTTTACTCAGGCTTGTGATTAGCAATGTAGCAGGATTAACAATCAGTTTTATTGGCACAAGTGAGGGACAGCAGATGTCTCTGGGAGAATGTAAATGCATAAGTAAGGAGGGGTAAGCACAGGGCACTCTTTAAAACATAGGAATTGTAAAGTTGACTTTCATAAGTGTATTTCATTTCATTTAAGTCTTCTATGCAAAATAATTCACATATAGTTGTTTTCTTTCTTTTCAGGTCTGTAAACAACCAGTACTGCAGAAAAGTGATAGGAGGGATGGTTTGGAACCCATCTATGAGACGGTCCTTATCTGTTGAACATCTAGAGACCAAAAGCCTTCCTTCTCGATCACCTCCTGTTACCCCTAATTGGTAAATCCAGTTTTAGCTTTCCCAATACCTCCTAACCTCCTACCATCTCTAATTGTATGCACTGTAGCAGAATAATTATGTAGTGTGTGCATATATATTTAAACATTGTTATTCTGAGAATAGATATGATGATAGAAGAGTGGGTGTCACTTACCTTAACTTCAGCAAGGCTTTTGATACTCTGTGCTGAAATCTTACATCCAAGTTAAGACATTATGTTCTGGATGGGTGGGACAGCAGGGTGGTTTGAAAAAAACATTAAAATGGTTGGATGACTGGACTCAGAGAGGAGTTGTTAAGGGTCATACTCTACCTAAAAGACAAGTAGATGACTGAAGGGGTCTGTCTTTGGACCTGTCCTGCTTAACAGCTTCATAATCTGGAGGAGGCAATGGAGTACTTGATCATAAAGTTTGCAGATGACACCAAACTGGGGGGAATGAATCGATAAGCCTAGTGACAGGGCTGCTCTCTGAGGGGACCTTGAAAATCTGGAGAAATGGGTCCCATAGCAAATGTGTGAAATTCAATAGAGACAAACTTAGAGTCCTGGGAAGGAAGAACCCAGTGCAACAGTATTGTCTGCAGTGCAATACTCTTGAAAAGGGCCCAATATTCTTCATAGGCCGAGATGGTACATGAGCTGCAGCAAAGAAGTCCACTTTAACAAGGCAGTATTAATAGAATTGTAGATGCTGGGTCAGTGTAAGTGATAGCCCCCTTTTTCTCAGCACTTATTAGAATGCTGCAGCCCTTTAGTGTTTGCTCATACAAGAAAGATGCTGACAATCTGGAGCAAGCTCAGCGAAGAAGCCGCCAAGATAGTCAGGAGGCTGCAGCACTTACCCTGTGAGGAGAGGCTGAGATAATTGTACTTGTTCAGCCTGGAGAAGCAAGGCTTTCCCAGATGCCTAATAACAGCCTGGCATTACTTGGGAGGAGGCTAGCTAGGGAATGAGGCCAGGTTCTTCAGTGTTGCATGGTGGGAGGATGAGGCAACAAGTAAGTGTATGCTGAAATAAGTTAGGTTCCGTCTGGATATAATGCAAAAACTGCTTCATCACATGGACAGTCATTGCTTGGAGAAGCTGTGTGGTCTCCATCATTAAGACTTTTTTGAGATATGACTAGATAAAGCTTTAAGCAGCCTCCTCTGGCCTTAGTTGACCCTAATCTGAGCAGAAGATTGGACTAGATGACCCCCACAGGTCCCTTCTGACCTGAATTATCCTAGAATTAGGTTGCATTTTACAGGGGAGAAACACCAAATCAGTTCTATGTACTGAACCTAGCAGTGTATCATTGCCTAGTATACCATACAAAATACTTAAAACTTTATTATTTCAAGTGAGGCTTATAGGCCTGTCATGAAGATTCAGGTCATAACTGCAATAGGATAGAAATTTTACTTCTATAAAGTTTTGTGAAATAATTCTAATCTTCCCACTTGTGTTTGTATTCCGTATTTTTAAGGCGGAGTCCTAGACTACGTCATGAAATTCGTAAGCCAAGACACTCATCTGTAGATAACCTCACAAATGAGATTAGTTATATCACTGAAACAGAGGATGTTTTTTATACATATAAGGGCTCTCCAACATCAAAGGACAGTGATTCAGAGTTCTCTCAGAACCGCAGTCCACAGAGGAGGTAAGGACTTCTGCAAACAATCCTTTACCTATTTTCGTTTTTCTAAAAGCATTGTCAGTGGAAAGAGGTATTGCATTTGAGTAAACACAAGAGCACAATAACTAGTGATCATCCATCTTTTTCTTCCTCAGAGGAACTGTTGATGACTCATCTAAAGGCAGTCTCTGCTTTTTGCATTGAGTTATTTTGGCTGTATTCCTCGAGGACCAACTTTGTTCTCCTCTACAGTGGTCTTCTAGCCACTGCTAGGTTTGCTTCGAGGGCTTGAAGCACCTATCTTTGTGCTCATGTATTTCTTTAATGTGTGGTTTCCCCTCATTTCTTAATGCATATCTTCAGATTATCACAATGTTAACTTCAGAAATAATGTACTAAGACATTAATTGTTCAGTCCCAAAAAGAAAACAACTACCTTAAAACTTTGAGCTGAAGAGAATGCTGTGTATTAAAATGCAGGTTCGTTCTTACTATTACAAAAGGAAAATGGTTTCTAGTGATGCCTAGTAGCTTTAAGGCAAGGTGTATTTTGAGAAGCAATGTCCTAGTGGAAGCTGATAGGACTCACCTGCCTCTGTGACAGTATGCAGCTGGTAATCGTAATTTGAAATTCTGGATATATATTTTATTTAAATTTTATATTAATAATGTTATTACATTACAACAGAGAGTTTTCTATGAAAAAAAAAGAGAAAAAATAACATGGGATGCATATTTGGAGTTTGTCACTGTAGTGTTTTAATTTGTTTTTCTTTTTTTTTTTCCGATTGGAAACCAACTGAACCTTAATACTACTTATTAGTTCTAATGATACCAGTAACCATGATAGTACATAAGTGATGCCTCTAGATGTTGTTAATAGTCATAGACAGGAAACCATGTATTCTCTGTGTTTTAAAGTTTGAGATGATATGCTTTAAGAATTGTTTTCTGAGTAAAAATACTGAGAGGCAGGCATAAGAAGAGATGATGATGGTAGAAGCTGTAGACAGAAAACTAAGTTACCATGCTGTGTTCTGTGACTGGCAGATTGTGACCTGCCAGTTGGATTTTTTTATTTATTTTTCTTTCCTTCCCATGTAGTTTTTCCCTTTCCTTCCTTTTTTAGTTATCCTGTACCTACTGAGAATGGATTGGAAAAGCCTGCCTTTATGCTCTTTCTCAGACAGTGAAAATAGGATGTCTTAAATTTGAAAATAGCACATTCATTTCTTTTCTGAACCCTAAATGTCTATGCTGTGTCTAAGTAATACCACTCACTGTGTAGATAATTACTGTTGCTACCTCATATAAACCAAATTTTCTATGCATCTTATCCCAAACATGTTCTTAGTTTCTTGGGTATGTTTATAATATGTGATACTCTGCAGGTAAATGAAAAAATGCTTGCATAAATCTGATGAATTTAAATTCAAGTTGTGTGTTTTGTAAGAAGAATGTAATGCAAGGAATGAATGATCCTTTCTTGTATCGAGTGTTAGACTTTTGTGAAGTCTCAAATAGTCACTAATAATTTCCTCTTTAACAACTGAGATAAAATACAAAATAACTGTAGAAATTAAAAAATATATATTTTTCTCTACATTGAAGTTTTCACCTGTTTATGTTAGTCCACATTCTAGTTTTTTTCCTTTTGCATTCTTACAATAGTTTTTATTTGCTTCACTCCCCTTGTTGAAAAATGTAAAGTAAAATTAAGTATGTATGCATAGTAAAATTTTTCTTGCTCTGAAGGCTTTATTGGTGGAAGGAATCTTACCCTATCACTTAAGTTCGTTTTGTAAGAAAAAACGTTTACCTTATATATCTTCAGTATTAAATACGGACACTTGCTCTGGACTTTTACCACACATAGGGAATATTTAGATATTAACTATAAACCAGCTTCCAGTGTACTGATAAACCTTGTAAAGTCAACCTACTGTGGTTGGTCTTCAGTAGATTTGAATTGACGTAATAGAAACATGCTATGGAAAAAAAAAACCAGATTTGCAATTCCAGTATTTCTCTTTCATTAGAGAAGAGCAAAGAGTAGCTTCTCATAGTCCTGCTAATACATATTTTCTTTAGAGGGCTCTTTTTTTATTGCATAGCCCACTGTCTCTGACTGTTGATAAAGGTGTTAGTTAATGCTAATTATAACTACTGGATAGCTTTGGTCTGAAAGAAGAAATCTGAAACATTTTTGAAGAACTGCTAGCAAACAACTGTAAATGCTGATATTTAATCACTGAATGGTTATGTCTGGGACCTCAAAACTTAATAATAATAATCATGCAACAGCTTGATTTCTGTAAAGTAGACAGCAATTTGATTTACTATTTCTGAAGCTCAAGAATGTGCATTTAGCATAGAATATGGCTCTTCACTTATTTTTCCAGTTACCATCAACATTTCAGGAGTGGTGGATCATTTTTACCCTTTCTTTCAAAATATGTGGTCCAAGATAGACCTACTTTTAAAGTGGTCTGTTGTGATGTGGTGCTTTTTCAGGTAAATTGTAGATAAACTCTTTTAACAAGACTTGCTGCCTACATAATGCTACCAAGGCACATTCAGAACCTTAGTGGGTATCAGAAATGCAGAAGTCACCACTGCTGGCAAAGCACATACACCTGAATTTATTTTCCTATACACTCTTTTTCTCTCCTGACAATACCAAGTATATTTATTTTCTCAATAATCGATTTTCTTCCTTGCTCTGTTTACTCACTTGCAGGAATCAATCAAGTTCTATTTTCTTTCTGTAAAACAGTACACAATTTAGAAAACAAATTATCTGGAACAGCTCTTAGTTTAGAGAGCATAAAACATAGCAGTTGTCAGTATTTCTTCTTCAATTTTTTAAATACATTGTACTGTATAAATATGTCAACACCTGGAACTATGTTTGCTGTTAAATACTTTAAATGAACATGCTGGAGATGAAGGTCAAGAATATTTGATCATGTTTTATATTTCTCTGAAGGATACAATGATTTATTTCTTGAAATGTACTTTGTGTGAACATTATGCCATCTTACTGAAACCTGAGGTGTTTACTACAGTCTCTGACTGGGAAAAAGAGAATTGGAAAATAGAGTAAGCCACGTGTACATGTGAACTACAGAAAGCCAGGGCAAGCTTATGAGCATTGTGTTACGTGTAGGTAGGTTGCTTCTGCTACTCAAATTATCTAAGGAACTTTCACATTCAAGAAAAATTGTGTCTTTTCACTATGTCTGAGCCTCCAATTTTTCTCTCTGATTAGTGTCTGCAGAAAAGGTTGGAGCTGTCTATTACATATGTAATATAGACAAAAAGTTGCTCTAATTCCAAATTAATAAAAATATTATAGAACTTTATTCACAGGGCATGAATAGATTTGCCTATTTAAACCAACTATCTCAGATCACAGCTGCTTACAACACCTGTCAGAGAAGACAGCGCTGAAGAGGACTTCAAGAGGACTTTTGTTTAGTCCAGGGCTCCCTGGTGTTTGTGAAGAAAGCATCCAACTGTATGCTGCACTCTGTCACTCTATTTATACCATGCCTACATGCATATGCACATGGTACTGTTGTTATTTTGTTTTTTAGAATGATTTCAAGAATAACACTGAGACAAAACATACCAAGTAATGAGTGCACTTGTTTGATAACAGGTTTTCCCATTAAAATTTGCTTTCTCTAGTCTTCATGCAGCTTCCCTGAAGATATTTTCTTTGAGAGATTTGCATTTGCTTCACTGAAGCAGATTTTTGCTTTTTACCTTTCTTATTTTAAGCAAAGTAGAAAACTTCTCTCTTTTCTATGAGGTTGCATAACTTCAGATGTCCTTAAACAGTGACATATGTATTACAGAAGAGTTATGAATACAAACTGGCTTTCCTTTAAGATATGAGGCTTTATTATTTCTAAAGTTAGCTCTATGAAAAAGATACTTCAGTCTGGGGAGTTTTTTCGAAGTTGTGTCATACCAGCAGGCTACCTGGCATCAACCCATCCTGACCCTCTGCTATCCTTGATAGTTAGCCTCAACAGACCTCCTGGAAGAGGTTGCCTTTGAGAAAAAGGTTTCTCTTTCAGTGTAACAGGTTTAAGCCACAGCTGGTTATTTTTAAAGGCAGGCTGATGGACTTGTGCAGGGAATTCTTTTCGTAATTCTTTGGTTTTTTAGCCTGTTGAAGTTGTATAGTAGTTGAAGATTATAGTAGTATAGCATAGTAGTTGAAGATTACCACTGTTGCACTGTTGCAACAGTGCACTGTTACACTCTGTCTTGATAAGGGTACCACTACGGTTTTCAAATTTGGAACAAGGAAAGACTCAGGGATTTAGAGGAACAAATCATCCTTACTGATCTGTCTTTCCCTGTCACTGCTGCTATCTCTATGCTCCTGTGTCATTTAAGGGGAAAAGGTACAGTGAAAATAAAGTAGTCATGTTGAATGTCTCAATACCAGATTGGCAAATTCCAAAATATCTTTAATTTAAGTGGTAACCTTCAGATCTTCAGATCCAAGTTGGCTTTAACTGGGGAGTAGACTGGTTATGTTTTGACATCATGTACTCTGACATGCTTGATAGATCAGATATTAGATTTTGTATAAAAGACTGCACTGTTCATCTCCAGTGTAAGGTCTGGTTCTTGGTATTGATAGTTTTCAAAGAAAATAAAATTAAAATGTAGCATGCCCAATAATTCATGTGTAGGATTCTTCATAGATGAACTGTTAGAAGAACAGAAAAAGAATAAACTTGAAGGAAACTAGCTTGCCCTTTAGCCTTAAGTAAATAAGTGGTAATTTAAATTACTAAAATAATTTTGCTTGTTTCCTTATGTTAAAGTATTTGTTGTAAATTAAAAATCTGTAGATTTAAATGCTTCAATAATACACTTTTTAAACACTTGGTGAACTTAAAATACCAAAGTCTACCTTAAAAACATAAAGACGTAAGCAAATGGTATTTAAGGACCTTTGAACTTTATTTTTACCTTGTTCCCATTGTTCCTATCCTTTT